TAATTTAAAAAACAGATGCACTATTCAATACAATTATTCTATATTTATTTATCATCCTGATTTTTTCCTTTCCTCAGGAAAAATCACAAAGGTTGAGACTAATTGGGGCAGGGGTGTTAATGTGAGTTTTGGAACTTCTTTTTCTTCATTGTGGCTGGTGTTATGGTTTATATCTAGAACCCCCTCCTCCACCCCCCAAGCCTCATGTGATCCATAAGCAAAACCTTTGGAAGGTGATTGGGTTATGGGGGCATTAGAGCTGATTTCCTTTTAGGAGGTGGGGCCACGTAAGAAGGAAGAGGTCACTGGGGTGATGTTCTCTGCTTCCTGTTTGTCATGCTATGAGCCACTTTCTTCCTTCTGATGCTCTGTACTGCCTTTGAGGTAGTGGACTATGGACTGAAACATGAGTCAAAATAAGCATCTCCTTCTTTTAGTTGTATGTGTCAGATATCTTATCCCAGTGAGGAGGAAAGTGACTCAGACAGTTGGTTTTTTCTAGTTGTCCCTGAAAATCTACTCCTCACCTTTCTCTACATTGTTCCATGTGCTGGGAGACTGAAACTTCACTAACTGCATCAAAGAATTTTCTTTCCTTTGGTTCTGATTAGATTCAGTCTTCAGAAGCACTGGCAGGAGATCAGAGGTAGGGGAGAAGAGTGAAAATTTGGGTATTTATTCCTTCAGCAATACTTCATCTGGTTCTTTATTCATCCCTCCCACCCAAATAAAATTTCATACAGCAGCTCTATCCAGGTTTCAATAACTATATCCCAATCTTGCATCTTCAGCTTAAGTGTGGTAATGCGGACACTATGTTGCTTGCGCTGGGATTTTACATCTTTTCTGTGTCTCTTATCTATGTTGATACCTTTCTAAATAGTGACCTTGTAAGATGTCTTCATTAGTGTGTTTGAGTGTGCCATCTACATTTTTCTGGTAAGAGTGTTAGCAAATGAGTCTTATGATTAAAGACTGAAAAGCAAGGCAAACCTCCAAGGTAAACTGAGTTTTGTGGATCTTGGTGGTATATGTTGTACCCATTCAGGGTTACCCCACACCTATGCTGATCATGAGTCTTCTGTGTCAGTATATATCACAGTTCCTGTCTTCAGGAACTTTACAAGGGAAAGTACCAAGGTTTTTCCTTTTATTTTTATTTCAACTTTTAATATTGGTTAACTCAAGCAACTTAATGTTTTATCAACTAATTCTCAGATTTTAAGTAACTTTAAAAGCTCTAAGACTGGGACTTTATTCATTCAAAACTATACACATGTCCTGGGCTATTATTTTCTTAAGATGAAAAATAATCAGGTAATGTTTTACTTTAAAAATATTTTGCAACTGTTTTGATCTGAGTCTATCTCAACAATGCAACTTATTACTATGTTATATGTAATTGGTACTACTTATTTCACAAGAGTGTTATGAAGATCAAATGTGGTAATGTGCAAAATAGTTATGACATGCATCATGTGCTATATGATAAACAGATTGGGAATTTTTATTCTTATCACAAGCCCTATTTCTAGTAATTGTTTTACAAAGATGAGAAGGGGTCTTATTTTGCTAACACATAAAACTCCTGAGGATTAGAATGGAAATAAATGATCTCAGCTTTTAGGCAGTCATAATGTACCTAAGAATTGGGATTTTTTTCATGTTTTGGTGAAACTATTTTTAATTTTCTGTAATAGGAGTACTGCATGTTAATTCACATTATATGTAGCAAGCTACCAACCAAAGGGATCAGCACCAGCAAATGTATTCAATCGACAGGTTTAATTTATATCTTTCCATACAATCAGGTGTGCAAGTGTATTGACCCATATTGTACAATCTAACTCATATTCACAAACAGGAAACTTGGATTTAACTTGCCTGGATAACAGATTACTTTGTGGAGGTTATAATTATAATGCAGCTGGATTGGGCTTAATTATGAACATTTATTGTGATCACCATTTCTCAAAAAGTTTGCATTGCATCCAAATTGCTTAATAGAGCTTGATAATGTGAAGATGTATATATTCAGAGACCTGATGAAATGTCTTGTTGACATTTTTCATAAATGCACTATTTATTAAATTGCTTTAAAGTTTGTGGTTCTGCTAAAAGGGTACTTAATATTACTAGAACTAGAAACAGAAAATTGTTGAAAGATTAGCTGAAGGAAGGTCAGTTTGTCAGGTGGGTGGTTGAGGTGATAAATGGTAAATTGTGTTTGTTTTTGTCATCTTTGTGAGGCTCATTCTTTCTTCTCTGTCTTAACTGGTAAATAGTGAACCTTAGGTAGTGCCTGAAAGAAACTACTGTGGGCTTATAATGAAATTGTTACAGAATCACTTCATTTTTCACTCCCAGGTTTATGCCTTATGCATAATAGCACATAGTTTAGCTTTTGTTATTACATTTTGAAAACAAAATAACTTCTCGAAATAGTATAATAATTATTGTATGTGTATCAATTAAACCCATGGTTATAAATTTTAGCATAATGTAAATAAGTAAATACTGGGGTGGACCCAAGGTGACAACAGTAGACAGTATGACTAAATTTCTCTTCACTACCTTTCAGATTTTGTGCACTCTGGACTGAATTGTGTCTTTTCACAAATTAAAATGCTTCAATCCTAACACCTAATATGATAATATTTGGAAAGGGGGATTTTAGAAGGTAATTCAGTTTGGGAATAATAATATATGTCAGATAGAGTTATTTTGAGTAATGACACCCCACAACGCACAGTACCTATTGCATAACACTCATTCCAGAAACAGCTATTTTATAGAATAATGAAACATTTCTGAAAAAAGTGATTTGAATTGCTTTTATACATCACATTTTCATAAAATACTATTATTCATATAATACTAACTGAATCATGGAAGCGAATTATCATTACTATTATTAAAAAAGACTATCAGCTCATATGAGTTTTTATATTAAAATATAACTTGAAATACTAGGTTTAGGGAGAGACTGCAGACAACTGTAGACTGTGGTATTCAAAATCCTCTCTGTATTCATCTCCATAGTATAAACTTTCTTTCATAGGCCTTTCTCTAATAAAGAGGTACATTGTCAGGGACTATAAAGGATCTAATAGTTTATCCTACTTGGGAGCTAATACAGTAGTCCTGTCAGTTTCATCTAGGGAGGCAGAAGGCATGAGATTCCTGGGTCAGAGACAAAAGAATATTACTTGGAGCCCAACAGATAACATGAGCAAATTCCTAGCAGGCAGAGAGGGGCTGCCATGAGGGTGTTGAACAGTGCAGTGGGTTTGTTATCAGATAAGGAAGTCCATGCTTAGAAAGTCCCGTCATTTTGAAAGAACTATAAGAAAACATACTCAAATTTTGCCCTGGTGGAAAATATCAACTCTGGAATTAGATCTGCAGAAATGCAAGAGGCCCATGGAGATTTGACTCTCAACAAACACAAAAGCATTCCATCAGTAAGTGTATTCTTTTTTTTTTTTTTGTACTGGGGATTGAACTCAGGACCTTGTACTTGTGAGGCAGGCATGGGGCCACTGAGCTAAATCCCCAGCCATCAGTAAGTCTATTCTGATGCATAAAAATTCTGGCCTTAGATATAGACTAACATGGTAAAGGAATGTACTCAATCCTTCCTTAAACATTTCCTGGACTATGTAGTCAATCAGTTGTATTAACTTTGCAACAATTATTCTGCTTTCTAACACTTTATTACATGATACTTTAAAGAGTCATACATTCTTTCTTGTTATCAAGTAGGTTTTGCTATCCTTCTTTATTTATCCCAGTAGTTTAACCTAATTGGATAGAAAATTTCCTATAGTATTAGAGGAACTGACACTTTAGAGTAGCTTGTACACTAGCAATCTTCCTTCTCTGCCTCTTTCTGGTAAACTTGTTTCACAAGGTCCAGTGCCTTCTTCCTCTGTAGTGTAGCTAAGCAATAGTTAGGTTCCTCAGCTTTTCAAGGCTGACTTCTGCGCTCTAATACTTCATACTTTGACCATGCTAGTCTGCAAAACAGGTTAAGCTCTTCTCTTATTCTTCAGATATTAATTAATACCATCACAGTCTTTTTGTTTTTAAGCTGAATCTGTAGCTACCCTGCTTTTTGTTTGTTTGTTTTAACTTGGAGCTACAGAATTCATTTGGGTTCTAGAGAAAAGCAAACTTCTCAACTCTTCATACTTAATAAACCAAAACAACTGCATATTTAAAAGATAAAAAAATGCCCGGCTAGCTCAGTCAGTGGAGCATGAGACTCAAAAGTTTTTTGTTTTTTTTTTAAAAAGATAAAAAAACCTGTTCTTTCAGTATACAGAATTAAGGAAGCATGTCTTCAGAGTTTGGCCAAAAGTTGAATCACAGGCAGGGTTGTCAGATACTTGGATGTCCTGAATTATCAGCATGATTAGTAAATATAATTTTTAAGATATAATAAAGTACATTATTTAGGACAAACAGTAAAACTCATTCATTTGAAAAATCAAATTTAAGTAGAATTCCTGTATCTTTATTGGCTACCTCTGACAACTGTTTTCACCGTTTATGTACCAGACTACAAATAACCTTTTATTAAATTAAATATAGTGAATTTTAACGCGTAAGTTATTCCCTGGTAGTCATGACTTCAAAGTTCTCTTGCGACATCAGCACTACACAAAAGTAAGTATAACCAACCTCTGATATTCACAGTTGTGTGGTATTTGAAGTTCAGGTCAAAAGAATCTAACTTAAAAGAAGTCACTGACTATTTGATTTGGGGTTTTAGAGTATTAAAGAACTTTAGGACATGATGACCTGGAGAAGCTTTCTAGAGAGGGCAAGAATTACAGAGGAAAAGGATTCTTGGGTTAAGAGCCAGTAAGAGCCAGGCAGGGATGACCTAGGCTGCTCGAGACAGGATGTAGCCAATCAGAGCCGAGAAGGGTGGGGCGAGACTGCTGGTAGGGGCAGGCTCTTGCTGTATTGGCTTCGCAGGGTGAGGCTCAGCCAATCGGAAGCAGGTAGGGCGGGGCTGGCCTCAGGGGACGGGCAGGTTCGATGGCGTGAATAGCCCGGGTACCTTGGCCTCCTACCTCAGCTGCACCTGCACCTGCGCGGTTCTCCCACCCGGGCTCAGAAGGTGACCACCAGTGTCGCGACCGGCTCGGCATGGCCTACCCGGGATACGGCGGAGGGGTGAGTCCTAGCCGCTCGGCCGTCACCTCCGCCCTCGCGGGGTGTGGTAACCCTATGGGCCGTGCCCTCGTACTGGATCTGCCCTCCGTCCCCGCCGCTTTGGAGCGCGATAGGTACCTGCTGGTATCGTACCACGCCGGACTCTGCGCGCTGAGCCTGGGGGGACCCCGAGCCGCAGGTGCCCGGTCCGTGAGGGCCCTCCAGAGGATGACCTGTTTTCACACATTTCCTTCCTGGAATGGAGAAAGGAAACACCCATTTCTCTTTCCAGTAACCTTTTAGTTTTGCCAGAGAGCCTCTTTCTAAATTTTTTTGACCACTTCTTGTTTTTAAATTGCTTGCTAATAAATTGAGGTAGTCGGAATGCGTCCTAAACTTAGTTTTTCTAGACTATTTTTGGAGGCAAGGGAGATTTTTCATTCTTAAATACTGTATTTCCTACATCACCTTTGAGAGAAGTTGTAATTGTAATAGCCGTGACTAGTTCTTTCCTTTCTGAAAGGAACCCCAGCCTTATTTACATCAGTGATCCTCAAAGTGCGGTGCGCACATTTTGTGTTTACAAAGTGGGAGTGTGGGATGAGCTATGGGGGTGCAGGCAGAAGACAGCACGTTTGCTGTTATTATTTGTTTTATTTAAAAACAGAATTTACACTTTGTTAATTTTAATATAGAAGTTAATAGTGGCATAAGATAGTGATCTTCGAAGGAATTACTTCTTTTCCTGGGAGTAAGAATTATTTTTTAAGGTAAAGAATTTCCAGATTCACAATTTAGACACATACTCTTTCCTACAATTGATTTGCTTGAAAACTGACCTGAATTCCCTTTGGCATCTTCCACACTCCAGTTTCTACCCCTGTATTAGTTTATCATCTTGTGACCAGATACCTGGGAAAAAAGGATCTAAAAGAGGAAATAGTGATTTTGGTTTAGGCTTTCAGCAGTTTCAGTTCATAGTCAGCTGATTTCACTGCTGTAGGGTTGTGGCAGGGCAAAAATGTCATGGCAGAAGGCAGCGTGGAGGAAAATCCCTCCCTCATCTTGTGACAGGGAAGGGGGGGGAGAAAGGGGTGTGGTAGAGACAGAAACAGATGGAGAGAGAAGCCACTAATCAAATCCTGCCCTTCATGATCCCAGTTCTTCAGCACACGTGGTTATTTGGCTTCTTCTGAACATGGTGACCACATTCTTTATGACAAAAGCAAGCTGCTAGTCCTCTTAACTACTGAAGCCTAGAAACCACGTGTTGCTGTTTCTACCATGTTCTTCCAGATAAAGCTGAACACAGGCCCTCCCAAGAAGGGAGACTTGGCTTTTCAGTGGGAAGAGTCATAAAGAATGTGACTACCAGGTGGTTCTCAAATTACTGGCTTTAGGAAAGTTAGTGCTGCAAATTGAGAAAGGAAGATGGATTGAGGTAATCCCTAAAGACAGATTCTTCATACAATATTGTTTACCTGACTTTGGTTATAGAAAAAGATGTACTTGTCTTTCAAGACTAAAATGGAGATGCTATAGTAGAGTGTCCTTAGTGGGGCTTTTGGCACTATGTCAACATTACCGTTCCATTAATGTACTTACATTTAGTTTGACCTGTTTTCGTAAAGCATCTTTAAGTTTTTCTTCCTTGTGTGAAGCTTAAGGTGAGGAGAATCTCCAGTAGGCCTTTAAATGACTGATTCTGCTGTAGGGCTTGGTTGTCTTCCATGATCTTGCCTTGGAACCAAAGAGCAACTGTTTGTAATTGCCACAAGCTCACAGCATAAAATCCTTTTACTCATGGGTTCAGCTGTATCTTCAGATATTAGCTCTGAAACTTGCCCTTTATCAATACTCTTAAGGGCATTTAATGCCCAATGGAACTCTCTATCCACAGTGTTAGACTGCATCAAATTATTCTAGCATATAATATTTTTTCAAATTATATTTGTTCTTATATACCCCTTTTATTTTTTATTTCTGAAATTAGCTTGTCCTGTTCCAGTCAGTCTCTTTTTTTTTCTTGAAAAATTATATTTAGGATTCAGTATATTCTGTTGTCATGTTTCCTGTTTCCTGTCTTATATTTCATGGCTTCACACTCTTAGCTTTGACTGCCTTCTAGAGCTCCAGTATTTCCTCCATACCTCTGCCACATCTCATGTTATCGCTATTCAAACCCCATTGCCTTCTATACCATATTGTTTTGTCATCCCTCATAATTGTAATTCTTTTCTCTTTCTGCCTTCTGACAACCTCTGATCATCCTTCTATGATGCAGATTAAGAATATTTTTGTTCAAAACGGAATAATCAAAACACTTAATACCTTTCCTCCTCTTGATTCATAAAATGCTGAGTAAGATGCTTTTCTAAGGTAATAAAAATATAAACTGAGTCTCAAAGTGAAAAAAAAAAGAGACAAATCAGATCCATAGCAGAGATTAAATATATGTATAGCTTCTGAGGTCAGATTGTCTATATTTGAATGTATAGTCTAATATCTTACTAAATGTTTGACCTTGATCAGTTAAAGAAACCTTGACACTTCAAATTCTCGACTGCAAAAGCATATACTTTTATGTCTATCTCAAGAGTTGTGAAAATCAAACATAACAGATGGAAAGTACTTAAAGTAGTACTTAGAATATAAAAAGCCCTCAATGCATATTAGCTGCTTATTATTACCATATTATTATTATTTTTTATATTCTTGTTATTTTTCTTAATTTTTTGTCATTTTGCTTTTTAAACTACATAATAAAGGATGATATTTTCACATCTCACAGAATGTGGAAATCAAACAACATAGTAAATAGAAAGTACTTAGGATAGTGCTTGGGGTGTAAAAAAACCCTAAATATATATTAGGTAATTATTTGTTATCCTGGTTGTTTTTCATACATGTATTATATATAATACATATGTATATATAATGCGTATGTGTATATGTCATCTTGCTTTTTAAAAATAAATCCTTTATGGTAGAGAGGATATTTCACCTATATGCACTTTCCTGTAATTAGGTCACAGTTTCATTATATTATCATATCTTTTAAGAATGTGTCTGGAGGTGTATTTCTCAGCTTTACTATAGATGAAATCTTAGTGTCATTTTGTTTATATGAATGAGGATTATGGTAAAAACTTAAATTATGCTTCATATTTTTCTGTTAAATTAGGTTGTTAGTGGCTAGAGACTTTTATGTTTTTTTAATGCTGGATTAACATGTTAAAGAACTTGGTCTCAATAAAGGCTATTCAATATTTTGTAGTTTTTATGTTAGTCATGTTTGAAAGCTTTTGGTCACTGTATTTTTATTTTTAATAGACTTCTAATAAACATTTTCTACTAAACTAATGTTAGTAGGTAACTTTGATATTATTAACATTTTCCTCTTTCACTCTTATAGTTTGGAAATTTTAGTAGTCAGATACCAGGATCGCAGATGCAGATGGGACAGCCAGTGCCCAGAGCAGGTCCAAACTTTTACCCTGGAGGATACCAGCCTGGGCACACAGTGTATATGGGCAGCTATTCTTCAGCTGATGACTCCATGTGGACTTACTTCACTGCTATTGCTGGGCAGGTGAGATGATAAAATTATTACCCACATACTAGTTTACTAAAATGATTGCTACTTTTTAAAAACGTCAACTATTTTACTTAATGTTCATTTAAAATACATTTAAAATTTATGTTTTAAACTTATCTAGACCAAATTTTTCTTGAGTTTAGAGATGAGGGCAGTCATAATTACTTCTTTTTTAAAAGTTTTCTGGTATTATGTGTGCTATATTGTTCATATAAATAGAAGAGAAAAAAACTTTCAAAGTGAGGAAATCTGACTCGTCCATATGTAGCATGCTTTCTACTATATTTTTATGTGATATGTCTCTGCTGAAACTCATGTTTAGATTTAATTGCCAATGTAACTATCTTGCGAGGTAGTAGAACCTGTAAGAGATACTGTAATTAGGTCATGGAGCTCTCCTCTCATGAAAAGCAGAATGTGGTCCCTGAAAGGGTACTTAGTTAGCTTGAGAGAGGTTAGTTTCCAAGTGAGCCGGGCACCTCTGTCTTTCTCTCTTGCACACGTGCTTTTCTTCTGCACACCTGTACTTGCTCTCTCCACTTTTCTGCCATGCTTAGAGCAGCTTGTGGCCTTATCTAAGAAGATCTCATTGCCTTCCTAGCTTCCAGAAATCTGAGCTATACTCCTTTTATTTATAAAAACTACCCAGCCTCTGTTGTTATAGCAACAGAGTATGAACTAAGACACTTCTGCTGCTGAAACTCTTTTATATAAGGCTCATCTTGCTAGTAGCTAAGTACTCCACCAAAGCTCTAGTGTTATAATACTTATATATTATCTTCTGTTCCCCAAAGCAGGTTACAGAAACTCTAAACTTCCTCTATCCTTAGAAGGTCATAGTGACATTCTTTGACTTATCCTGTCTGGTTGTAAGTCAGAAGACACTTGGTGATTACAGAGGAATCCTGCTCCATAGCCTGGAGGAAGGAATGTAGCATGAGAGGCCAAGTGTCTGAGTAGACAGGCCTGGGTGGGTTTTCCTACCTAGAAGGCTACTAGTAATCATGTCTCTACCATGAAGTCGCCTAAAAACCCAAAAGGAGTGTGCAGAGAGCCTTAGCTGAATACAGGAACCCTCAGGAAAGCAAACAAGAAATGGTATATGTGCTGGGAAGGTTGTGTGTATCTTAAATCCACAGACAAGGGATTGAAGCCCCTGCACTCAGGACCCTTCCAGCCTTCGCCATTTGTGTCTTTTAACCTGGCTATTTATTTGTGCCCTTTATAATACAACAGTATACCAAAGTATAGCCTTTCCTTTAGTTTTCTGAGCCCCTCTAGCAAATTAATCACACATGAAGAAGGGGTCATGGGACCCCAGTTTGTAACCAGTCGGTAAGAAGTTCTTGAGGTCTGGACTTGTGACTGGGTCTGAAGTAGGGACAGGTTTGGAACTGATCCCTCAACCTGTGGAATCAGGTGCAATCCAACTAGATTCGTTCGGAACTGAATTGGATTGGAGCATACAGCTGGAGCCTGCTGCAAAATCAATTGCTTTCTGGCTGGTGGGGAGAATTTTCTAAGCATTTTGTCTCAGAAATCTGTGTTAATTGTGGTGTAAAAGCAGAGGAAAGAACAAGATACTTCTTTTTTATCCCCTGAGACATAAATATTACTTGAATCAAATTCCTAAGTTGATTTTTCTTCTTCTCACTTGCCAATATGATTCTAAAGTTTATCTGATAGACTATATCATTGAGAATAAATATAAAATCATAATAAAATACATCATAATGGTACAAGTGAATCATAAAAATAATATAATCACAGACATGCCTTGATTAATTTTGGGGGGTATGTTCTGAACCACGGGGTGATTTTTGTCTTTGAACACACATCGTAGAGTGTACTTACAGAAACCTAGGTGTTATAGGTCAGTGATAGCGAACCTCTGGCCCATGTGCTGCAGTGGGCTGTTTGTATAATTGAAAGCTCTAAAAGGTTCACCATCACTGGTATAGGTCAATCACTTCACCACAGGCAGCAACCTCATACATGTTGATGCAGTCAAAAAAACATGGTAAGGAAGTAAATGAATAAGTGTAAGATGGCATGATGTTTTATAGTAAACTTTTAAAAATACATAAATGGAAGAATACATTCTAATGATAAAACTATAGTATAGTAAATGTGAAAATCAGTAACATAGTAGTTCATTATCAGTATCAAATATTATTTATATAATTGTATGTGCCATACTTTTATATGACTGGTAGCTTAGTAGGTTTGCTCCTATTAGCATCACCACAATCATGTGAATAATACATTGTACTATATATGACATCACAAAGACTAGGATATCACTCTGTGTATTAGCATTATGTTAATGAAATTCCTGAGGCAATTAACTTATGAAGATAAAAAGTTTATTTTGACTCATGGTTCTGAAGATTTTAGTCCAGGATCAGGAAGTTGCATCCCTTTGGGCTTCTGGCCAGGGCATCACATCATGGTGGGAGTACATGATAGGGGGCCACTCACCTCATGGAGCAAGAAGCAGGTAGTGAGTGAGAAGATGTGGCCAGGATTGTGTCCCACAGTCACCTTTGAAGGCCTACCCCCAGTGGCCTACAGATCTCCTGCAACTTAATGCAACTACTTTGAAATCTTAATGCAACTACTGCCATATATGTGGTTCGTTGTTGCGTCAAACATTTTCGTGAATCCAGTGCTTCATCCCACTTGCAACTGTGGGTTACTTAAAAGCAATGTGACAGCTGGGCATGGTGGCACATGCCTGTAATCTCAGAACTCTGGAAGGCTGAGGCAGGAGGATTGCAAGTTTGAGGTTAGCCTGGAAACTTTAGCAATTTAGCAAGACCCTATCTCAAAAATAAAAAAGGGCTGACTGGGGATGTAGGTCAGTACAACAGAAGGCCCTGGGTTCAATATCCAGTATCACTAGGAAAACAAAACTGGGATACTCATATCCCAGTAACATGTGAGGTCATCAGAGGCAAATCCTTGATCTCCCTGCAAATCCCTGATCCCTTTACTCCCTAGTTTTATCTCTACATAATGCACCCAAACACAATTTTGAGTTAGAATTTCATATATATAGTTTAGTTTCAGACATTTAAAAAAAATAGAACTGTTCCATTAAAGCAGTATGAACTTCAGGTATATTTAGATAGATAAATAAATATATCTTATCTCTCACAATTACTTTCCTGCTTAGTTGCTATAGAAGGTCCCCCAATGTGAACTCTTGGTATAACCTATGACCACTGTTGTGTTGCTCAGGAATTTAGGGTTAGGCTAGGCTAAGGCATACAAGGGACTTGCCTTAGATGCAGAATTTATGAGGGTTTTATTTTTATTTTATCTTTTCTTTTTTTTTTTGGTACTGAGGATCGAACTCAGGTCCTTGTGCTTGCGCAGCAGGAGGCGAAAACACTGAGCTAAATCCCTGGCCCATATGAAGGTTTTAAAAAACTCAGTAATAATGATAAATAATTCTTATATGTGACTTTTCAAAAAATCAAAATTAATTAAAAATCCAGTAGTGATCCCTTTTTTCTCAGCTTTTAAATGAACACAGGATCTGACCCTGTGCTTGAAAACACTAACCTTGATCCTCACGTTGGTGTTGGCTTAGTCTGGAAAGCCTGTTCCACCACTATGAGGACTTTACATTTGTAAGATGTTAAAATAAGAACCAGTTTACTTGTCATGCTTTAGTCTTCTTGGTTGTAGAAGAGAAACCCAAGTATTTAGTAGCACGATGTAAGTTGAAGTAAAGGATCTTATATTAGATAACTCGACATGGCCGTGATAAAGTTTCATAAGATGAGAAGTGTGTAGCAGATCAGCCAAGTGTGATGGCATGGTGGTACGCATCTCTAATCCCAAGTATGCAGGAGACTGACGTGGGAGGGTGAATTGAGCTCCAGAGTTGGAAACCCACCCAGATAATGTGATGAGACCCTGCTATCAGTCAATCAATCAATCAATCAATCAATCAATCAATCAGTAAAGGTTAGAATTCAAACTGCTCCAAGAGATTTTAAGGAATTTAATGCAAGGTTCCCTGAGCCTTCTAGCATTTAATTCTCTGGCAAAATCATAAACTTACTTTTTCATAAGAAGAATGCACATTCGTTTCTGGGTACAAGACATATATGTTAACTTTCATCTGTCTTGTATGTTTTCAGAGCAGTGGGTGAGCCAAACATGCACCTCTGCAGACAAATGAACAGGTAGAAATGTGATACGTGGAATTGAAAGCTCTGGGTTTGTGTGTGTGTGTGTGTGTGTGTGTGTGACAGGAAATAGTGAGATACTTTTCGTAGTTTTCATTCCATTCCCAAGGAGTTAGAGAAGACCCTAAAGGAATTTTTATGTTCTTCAATGCATATTTGCAATAACATTTCTCAAATTTTTTCAACCAGAATTTTTTTTTCAAATTTTCTTTCTCTATAAGGTTTTTCTTTTGATATAAAAGAATTGTGACACTTTTCAAGGTTCCTTCTTCTATGTCTAGAAGGTTAGAACTTAGAGAAGTAGGCTATTTGGGCTTGGTAGACCTTTGTGTGAAATGTTTCAGAAGAGGCTGGCACTTGAACAGAAAATATCAGATCATGCATAATTTAGTTCTCTTCATTTTAATTGGAATTTCTAGATTTTCAGCTATTCAAATTTTCTTAAAAATTTTTAAGTTTGTGTTTTCTATATTTTAAATTATTTATATTGTCCATACATTACATTAAATGGGAAAAAACAAATGAGGCTTAGTGGTTCTCATTTATTTAATCCTCAAGTAGAATAACATTTTCTCACCTAAAAATAGTTTAAAAAGGAAAATAATTTGTAATTGTTCTCTTTAGTATACTAGGAACCATTTTTTTTTTATAATCAAAAGGTATTTACTGCCTTTGCCTCTATTTTAATAGTTTGTAAGAATCTTTTAATAGTTAGCATGCAATAATTGACAACCCAGTGTTTATGTTCATCATTTCCCTGAGATGGTATTAACAGTGGCAGCTGTCATAATTCATAGACTATTTTCCTGTTGACTTCTGTTTAGAACACAGATATGTATTCATATTTTTTAAAAAGTCTTGAAATATAATAATGGTTTGTAACAGGCACTTTAGGACTTAAATATAAGGGCAGATGATTGGTAGTTAAATAAAATATGCCAAAAAGTCCTTCTAAAATTCTTTTAATTTGAAGAAAAATTTTCTACTCTAATATTCATTCTAAAATATAGTTAATGTTTTTGTTTTTGTTTTTTAGTTTTTATTTTTTTGAGACAGGTTCTCGCTATGTAGTTCAGGTTGGCCTTGAACTCACTATGTAGCACAGCCTGGCCTCAAACTCACAATGATCCTCCTGCTTCAGCCTCCTTCACACTGGAATTACAGGCATGCACCCCCCCGCCCCCCGGCAAAATCGTTAATTTTTCTAAAAGTATGATTTTATAGTTATAGAATTTAAAATTTAGTAAAGATCCCCAAAATATGAATGACAATGAAAGGAGCACTTAGAAGAATGTATTTCAGTATTTTCTTTTATTTCTGTTAGGACCACCAAAATTGCTTTTAGTATCTATTAGAAGTAGTTTGTAAGAGTTTTTGTTTGTTTCTTCCTTCTTATGAAGAATATGTTTGAAATTTACCTCCTTAATATTTCCTCAATAGCTGTTGTTTTGCATTTGTTCCAATCTATGTGATGTTGCCGCATGTGAAAAACTATTAGGTACTGAGCATAATGAGAACATTCAACCTGTTTCATTTCCACTGTGATTTCTTGTTCATATGTAAAAATATTTATTTCCAATAAATTCAAACAAGAACGTTTGGACAATAATCTGAAGAACAGCAACAAATTATGGAGGAACTCTAAAAATTTGCTAGAGGTAATGGTGAGGAGGGAAAAAAAGATAATTTTCTCTTCTGTAAAAGCTTCAGTGTAAAGTTTTTCTTAAGAAATAATCCCTCCCCCACAAAATGGGCAAGAGTTGGAAAGTTTTTGAGGATGTTCTGAGAACATTTTAGGCATTTTTCTATTTTAAATAGAAAACAATGATTGTCACATATTATTTTGAACTATTATAAGACAGAATGATAGTCCTGATTTTCAGAAATGGAAGCAGCATGACCTGTGATATTTCTTTGCTGTCAGTAGAATTTTGTAGTTGTTAATAATGTTTTGAAGATTGCATATTTCTTGATTAGCCTAGAGCAGTCAATTAACATCTTAATATGCTTTTATACACTGCACATTAAATCATACTATTATGATTTTTTAACAGGATGGGGAAGTGGATGCTGAAGAACTGCAAAGATGTTTGACACAGTCTGGAATTAGTGGAACTTATTCGCGTGAGATCTTTTTTTCCTTCTTGTGGAATTGGAATAAATTCATTTTTCCCTGTACTTAAAATGTTCTTTTTAAATTTCATACAACATAATTTAAAGAGTCAAATAGTTGATTGTCATCTCTTGGTGTACCAGGTTTTAGCTCTTGGTGTTAAGAGCATGTAGCGTTACCACCTCTTAGTGTTAGCAGTTCAGCCTTGGGTTATTTTACTCAATTCGAGATAGGAAACATGAAGAGGTAAGCAATACCAACTAAACAAGGTTTTGTTGGGGGTGTGCTTGAGTATAAAGATAAAGGAGGCAGCATGTGGGATTGGTTCTTGGTTTTGCTTTCCAAGGACGGAAGAAGTAAAGCTTATTTAGGCAACAATGATGTACTTTATGTAGGTGCACAGTCAGCTGTTGCATATGATCGCAGGATTTCTGCACGTCTTGTCAGCTCTTTATTCATAGTACCTGGGTTTGCACTTGAAATGGAGGTCTGCCTCACGTGCATTGGCTCCATTTATGCTCAATTAGCAAAAGATGGCGGAGGTACTCTCTACTGCCATCCAAGTGGCACATTGAGCATGCTGATCAAGTTGAGGAATATTGAACATGCCAGAATTGTGGGAAACTTGGAAGATGTAGTCAGCAGCTCCTGAACCTGGAAAGTGGTGGAGACATCTTCTGAAGACCTCATATATCATAGAAGATAACCTTGGTGGGGAGATTAGAGCCCCCTGTAATCTGTCTCAGTCTTGCAGAACTTGTTATGCAAATTACTTCATTGTGTATTTCTGGCTTCCCAACATTAACCTCTCATAAAATACACCTCTTTCAAATTTGTTTTAGCTGATTTTTTTGAGATTTTCTTCCATGTCTCAAAATCCTGGGTCTTTAAAACTATATACTTTCAGTTTAATGATTATCAGTTGATGTCTTCCTGTGAAATGAGAATTTAACTCTCAACCTTAAAGTCACTTTGTCTTTGATCTCCACACAGGAATCTTCATATCCTTCCATCCTTCCAATGTAGTTATAGATTAACTTTATTAGGTCAATAATCAATATTTACCTTATTTTTACTATCTACATACTGTTCACAGTAGTGTCTTGTGATTTTTCCTCTTTGTATAACTTTTCACTTTCCATGAAATTAATAGCTGTGAGCCATTCTATCTTTCCCATCAATGTGGGGCTTTCTGATGTACTCTATTTTCTGTGCATATCTGTCAGATTGGCATTCTTCACCACCACTGGAATTTTCTTTCCCCTCTCTGGAGCTGTCTTTCCTTTTTCTTAAATTGGCTATTTCTTTTACTCCATCTCTCTTCCTGTCTCTCTCTTATTTTCTACTGGGGATGAAACCCAGGGGTGCACCGTTCCCCAGGTCTTTTTATTCTTATCTGAGACAAGGTCTTACTAAGTTGCCCAACCAGGACTCAAACTTCTGATCCTCCTTCCTCAGCCTCCCTTGTGCTTGGTTTAGAGACCTGTATCATCACACCCAGGAGCTGTCTTCTTTCTTCTAAAAAAATTCAGTCTCTTATTTCAATGAAATACTATATCTTTAAAAACCTTCTAAATAAAAGAGTTCATGGGAGGCACATTTTTTAGCCCTTATGTATCTGAAATTGCTTTCATTCTATCTTCAGAATTGTTTGAACAGGTATAGAGTTCTAGGTTAAAAATCATTTTCATATAGACTGTTTAAAGTATCATTCTTGTTTTTAACTTTCATCGTTGCTGTGTCTTTCTCTTTCCTTCCCATATGTGATTTACTTTTTCACACACGGAAGCTTGTAATATTCTATCTTTGCCTCTAGTGTTCTGAAATTTCAGTGATGTGGCTACTTGTCTCATCTGCAAAACTCAGTGAGTATACTCAGTTGGGAGCTTACTTTACTTCTGGGAAATTTTTTCAGATTTTCTTTTTCTACTTTTTTTTTTTTCTAAATGCCTGTTATTTGAACTGGACTGGGTTTCTATTTTTTTTTTTTTCTCTCACTCCACTTTTTGGAAAATGTCCTTTACTTTCTAAACCTCTATTGGGTCTTTCATTTATGCTGTTAGGCTTTTAAGAGCCATGTGCTTCTAAATATTTTCTCCTTGAATGTGATATTTTCTATTATCTCTATGAAATATTTGATAAATTTAGGTTTTTTTCTTCCTACACAACATTTCCTTCTTCAAAACTGTTTCTATCCTCCCAGTTTGTATGTTAGGTTATCTTTCATGTCTTTTCTTAAGTGTCTGATGATGTGCTGTTCCTTGTATTTTACTAAAACACTGGCACTAAGCCCTATCACTGACTATTGTGGTGAGGTGCTAATTGTGGGTATGCTAATTCAGAGTAAGCTTATTTGGCTGGGCAGTTTTATTGTGGAGCTTTGGGCATACCTTTAGAGATTTTCCTCTGTTCTATAGTTGATCTGACTGAAGAGAAGGTGAAACAAATTCTGAGGTTCTTGAGTCTTTTGTAGAATTTCAATTGATTGCCTCGTTTAGTAGATAGCTCATATCAACTGTGCCTTGTGTCTTACATTCCAGGGACTGCTCCCAAGAATAAAACTGCAGAATTCTGCTGGGGTGAGAGTAGGTGGGACAGCCATCCAACTAAACAGACTTGGAGGGTTTTAGAGACATTAAATGCTTCTTAAATAGACATCATGGAGTTCTGTTTTTATCTCCACCTCCATACACATTTTCAGAAGTACTGCTAATTCTTAGACATTTGGAGTCTCATCCAAGACAACTAGGTTTCTTTTCAGCTTTTCTTATTATGGGTAAATATTAGTTAGCTCATATCTGTTGACTTTGTAACTTGCAAAATCTTTTACTTTTGTTTCTTTTTATATTCTCTTTTTCTTTAAACGTTTATGCCTTGTTAAAAAATCAGCTGTTCATTCAAATGGGTTGTATCCAAAGGGTCATGAAGAATCTGTGAACTTTACTAAAATGTCTATTTCTTTGCCCAAAATATTTCTTTTTTACACATACTATGCTATTCTGAAGTTGAAGATACCCTTGTCATTTAATTTTTCCATTTATGATTATCCATTTCGAATTTACCATTTCATGAATGTATGCCAAATTAATTATAAAGCACAACAGATTATTTACTTCATAAAAAGGTAGAAGACTCTTACATAGATTTCTCATGTAACCGTACCCCACCAAGAGATTTTGTTTGAAAGTTACATTGAGTTCCAGTCCTGGTGGTTTCTCTTATTAATTGTATGAACTTGGAAAACTATCTTACTGTGCCTCAGTTTCTTCATTTATAAAATTAGGAATATAATATATTTGACATGTTTATGATCATGGAATACACACTACTGGACTCACTAAATACTCAGTGAATTATCTGTTGAGTTGTAAATCTGAAAGTAGTACTGAATACACAAGAATCCTATACTAACACTATATTAAACATTTAAAGAAATCCGCTATTTTACTTTGTAGAATATTTTATAATTTTTCTTTAGTGGGTCTAAAATTTAGTTGAAATAGTTTCTTTTTAAAAATTTCAAAATGCATCCAGTAGCATAAAATAAATGACTCAGTTTTAAATTTATTAATGTATTTATTCAGTCAGTCATATTAACGAACTGCTAATAAGAACTTTGCAAGCTTCTTTGAAATATACTAACATAATATCTCCTTTATTAGGACTATGACATAATTCATCATGAGATAAATCATTGTACTAGTTGAATGTAATTGTGATACTATTAGAAAAATTAGATTTTCTAGTTGGCTCATTATATTACTATCAATATGAATGTATTACTATGTATCTCTTTTAATAACCCCTGAGTTTAGGATAGTTTGTGTTGATTTATTTTTCTTTTGTTTCCCCCTCCCTCAAGGAAAAACAGTTGCTTCAGATCAGTGACATATCTTTTTAAATTTGGTCTCTCGCAGTGGGATATCAATGGTTTATGCACTTGTACTGCATTGGCCTAAACTCTTTTTGGTGGTATTGAAGAGCTTCCGAATTTGGTCTTCATTTGTCTTTTTGATGTCCTTATACACCTTCACTTGTACTCTGACTCCTTCGAGTTTTGTGAACACTGATTACCTGTCAAACTTCTGCTTAAACCTCCTCTGTTCATTTGAGATGTGAAAACTGAAGTCCTCCTCTTCGGGGTCCAGGCAAACCTAAGTGCCTTGATCATCTCAAATGTATCTATCAGTAATTTTGGGTTATGTTATGTTTGCTTCTTTAATTATTTTAATCCTCTCACTAAATATGAGTGGTTTGAATATAGTATTTTGAGGGTCTTTTTTTTCTTCTTATTGTAAATGTTTAACATTTAATAAAAGTTTGTTGATCATGGTGGTGAATTTGTGACAGATGTTAAATGTTTTGTTTTAGAAATAAAGATTTTTATAATTTTATATAAGTAAAATTTAGAAAATTCTGTTTCAAATATTACATATGTTTTACAGCCTTCAGCTTGGAAACTTGCAGAATTATGATTGCCATGTTGGATGTATCCTTGAATAAAACTAGAAGATGCTACGATATAGAGTTATTGCTCTCAGAATATTGAGCAAATTACTAGTTATAAGTGACCATAAACTAATAAACTAGAAGGTTGAGAAATACTTTGTAAGATCCTGTTGGAAGTTCTGACAGTTTCATTTTTACATGGAAATCTATTCATATGCTGAATTAAGCTATTTTGCCGAAGCATATTTACTTTTCAGTCAGTGATTTAGAGGTTTGGGTCAGGTAAATCCTCTAAGGTACCAGAACTTATTTTTGTTAACAAAACTATCAGAGAGATTATACAGGAAAAATGGGGTTTAATGAATTCAAGGAGCTTTGGGCAGCTCTTAATGCCTGGAAGCAGAATTTCATGACCTTTGATCAAGACCGGAGTGGCTCAGTAGAGCATCATGAATTAAGTCAAGCCATCGCTGTTATGGGTAAGAATATGACTTTTTTTTTTTTTAGGATCTATACAAGTCATCTTTCTTCTGTGATCAGATGAATCTTCACTGTTTAAGTTTGCTAAGTAATAAAAATTATATATATAATTTTTTTTTAACCAACGGTTTCCTGCTCTAGGTTCAAGGTTTTAGGTAAATTCTGAATAAAGACTTTTACCAAATTATTTTTCAAAAGATGAATACATGGATTGATTCTGAATTTTCTCTAAATATATTTTGATTTATTTCTGATTTTGGAACAAATGGTCATCTCAGTCAATGGCAAATTTCTATATTAGCCTCTAGTATGTAATCAGGAGAAACGAGAATTTTTTTTTTTTTTTTGCTTCCTTTGTTTTCTTAGATAATGCAGAACACACACTAGGTACTGGAATATTCCATTTTAAAATATTTTAAAAGAATATGAATTTATTTTCATTGTATATTTGATAAGCTAATAGTCTAATTTCTAAAATAATATATAGTAATGTTTAAGTTGCTTTACAGTTAATGTAGTTTTAAATAGCCTTGTTTTTACCTTTGTAATTTTATTTATACTTATTTCTAAACAAAATGTATGAAAATTAATGTTTTAGAAATTAAAATGTGAACTTGATGCATATAGAATTATCTCAAATTACAACTTAAGGTACTAAAACTAATGATTGTTTTATAAGTAGAGATTTGAATTTGGTAGTTAGGGACAGTCCTGCCATACAAACATGTATAGCTCATTTTTAGGACTTTAATGTCTAATGGACTAAATCTGATCTTTAATTAAGTATAATGTTGGAAATTTAATATAATCTTTGAAAAAAATCTTCTAAAGAATTCACATAAAGGCCGGGGATGTAGCTCAGCCGCACAGTGTCTGCCTGACAAGTGCAAGGTCTTGAGTTCTATCCTCACTCCCCCCAAAAAATCACATAAGCTGTTGAAGAGGTGTTCTGAATTATTAAAATTTAACATCTTCAGACATAGTATTAAAAATATTCAAATTATTTTGCTGAGAATACTACAGGAAAATTTTAGGCACATTATCATTACCACATCTAGACAGTAACTAATGGGAATCTCAAAATGCATTTTTAGATAATACTTTATGTATTGCGTTACTTTTCTCAATTTATAGTTTACTTTTAGCAATTTCCTTGGGAAACATTTTATTTATTTCCTTGAATTTATTTTCATTTTTTTTTTTACCTTTGGAAGGAGTGTTATTTTTCTGCATGTACCTCTCTATTAATATACTGAAAATAATACTTCCCAAAGTAAACATCTCACTAAATACATCCTAGGATTGTAACAATTAAAACACATTAATTCTCATTTCTATTTATATGTATCCTATTCTTTTTAAATTTCAGTTTTCATGTATATTTTGAAACATAAGTTTTCAAACAGTAATATATGTATAAAATTTAAAGCTAACTTAAACACATGTACTGGAAGTCCGTGATCAGAAACATAGATAGGAGTTCACAATGAAAAAATTTTAGAGGCAACAGGACTGGAAGAAAGAACCAAGAAAATAGTAAAATATACTTAAAGAAATAGAATAAAAGGTTATAGAGTAACTAGGAATAACATTTCCTTATTTTTTCTGTTTTTGAGTAACTGTTGATTTTCAAATTGTCTTAAACTATAAAAGATGCTTTTAATGGGGAATACAGGATTTGAATGAAAATGAAGATTATTAATAATCTTTGCTTTGATATTCTTTGGGAACTATAAACTGGGCATGGGGATGCGGTCCTGAAATCCCAGCACTGTAGGAGGCTGAGGCAAGAGGCTTGCAAGGAGCTCAGTCTGGGCAATTTAGTGACTCAGAATAAAATGGCCTGGGGATGTAGCTGGATACAAAGACTCTGGTTCAATCCCCAGTGCTGTAAAATACATAAATTAAAAAGAAGTAAATAAATTTATAAATACTATAAGCAGTTTCAGGATTGAAATATTATATTATCCCCATGAAATATTCTATAAAACCTATGAAATATCCCTAGACACTAGTTATTTCAAAATAAAAATATATTTTAAACACCCAAGAAGATAATTATATATTTCTTTTCCTCACTTGGACTTTATTACAAAGCTAGAATTGTGTTATTCATGTAATGGTTAATAATGAAAGTTTAATTTGATCAGTTTTAGTATTAAGGTATTTTATCTCTAAAGCATATTTTTGGGGAAAGAATTTTGGAAGTTGATTTATTTTCTGACCTCACTAATCAAAAAGTAAAGTTGCAGTGTTTTTATGGTATTTTGTTTAAACGCTTTAATTTATCAATCTCTTTTCCTTAGGTTATAGATTGAGTACTCAAACATTAAATGCTATTGTTAAACGTTACAGCAAGAATGGCAGAATTTTCTTTGATGATTATGTCGCTTGCTGTGTGAAGCTTCGAGGATTGACAGGTACCTACCTTTTATTTTTTAGTAACGGAAATCTGACTCAGGATGTTGTGCTTGCCAGGCAGGCGTGGCGCCACTGAGCTAAATCCCCAGCCCAACGTCGTGTTCAGTATACATAGCTGTTTTTCTTGTGTACCTAATCAAAGTTTTAAGGCTTTAATTTATGAATATACATAGGGAAAAATTGTGATGTCCACATTGTAAAAGGTTTTGTTCATAACCCAGTTGCTCAGGATATTAAGCCTCTCAATATTTAATTTAATATGAAAGTCTTCAGGCTCTGAACTTAGAGATTCAGTATTTGAATTTATAAGTTTCGAATTATATCTTTAAAATGTTGTTTCTTTGTTGCAAAGAATTCTTTAGGAGAAGAGATCACTTGCAACAAGGGTGTGTGAATTTCATATATGAAGATGTGAGTATCTTGTTTAACATTTTGATATTTATACTGTATTCTGCAGTATATTCTTATATACCTATTCTTAGGTATCAGAAAGTTCAGTGATATAGTATACAAATATGGGTATTTTTTATTTATTTACTAATGCTGTACCCAGGACTGCCACACTGAGCTGCATAAGTAGCCCTTTAAAAAATTTTTATTTTGATGTAAGTTTTCACTAATTCGTCGGGTTTCCCCAGTTAGGCTTTAACTTGGGATCTTTTTACCTCAGCCTCCTAGAATGCTTCTGGGATTACAGGGAAGAAGTTTGCGAATAAATAATCTACTTTAAGACAGACCACACTGTTTTCTATATTTTTCAGCTTTACTCAAATATAAGATTGAATATTGGTCTAAACACCAATTTTAGTTTATATTAAATAAAAATGACTCTTAAACTTTATGATATTTTGGCAGTTTGCCTTCCAAATTATTTTAAAGGATAAAAATTACCATTATTTTTACACAAAGTAGCTTACTTGTAGTGATCTTTATTTGTAAAGCAGAGTATTTTAATCTATGACAATTTATGAAAACTGTTCATTTCTCATTTCAAATGGCTACTATTAACCTAATTCCAGTTTTCTTTTTAATTGAAGCTAGAGGAAATAATCTTTCACATATGCTTTAAGGTTTCAGAGTTCTTGTTTTGATTTTGTTGTATTGGTTGATGAAAGTTATACGATCAAAAGTACCTGCCTAATATATATTGGCTTGAATCACAAGCACTAAAATCACTTAAAGTTTCTTTTCTAATGAATAAAGCTCTGATGGAATATTATTAGCCAAAGACAGTTAAAAAAACATTTTATTGTTGCCAGATGATAACTTTATTTATGTGTTAGTTTTTGCAGGGCGCAATGACAATTTAAATGCCTAAGATTTGAAAGCCAAAGAAATACTGTGAATCCTTTTGCTTGAAAGAAATGAAGTGGACTACCTTAAAGTAAAACTTCAGGGCTTTATCATGTTCCTGGCTATTAAATCCCTTCTCTTTCTATGTGTTTTTATTTTAACACACAATTAAAAGCAGTAAGTGTTATGTTTTCTTATTTGGGTTTTACTGCTTTTGGAAAAATTATAAGTACAAATATCTGAATACTATTGTAAAATATTGGTATATAATTAAGTTATGTCAGTAATTCTTAGACTTAATTTTTAACAATAAAAGTCTAGACTTAGGAACGTGCTAACATGATAGATTGTATGAGAAGCCAAAAGATACAAGCCTAGATAAAATATATTTATAATTACCTCAAAATCACATATTGCGGTTTTGAATTTTGTTTGTGTTGTGGATATTTGGGGGTCAGCTGGAAAGGAAAGTGTGGATATTGTGCCATTTTTGAACAGGGTTTGTTCTCTGATCACATAATTAGAGGATGCATCCTTTTGGGTCTTTGTGAAAAAGCAAATTGTATTTCCTGAAAACCTATCTGAATTTGAATTTATAATGAAGTAAGAGTACAGTACGCATTGATTTTCCTTTTCTATTTTTTTGTAGTGCATATTTTTCTTAATATATTTTATTGTCTTCTGTGAAAAAAAAGTTCTTGAACGTAGCTTTTTTTCTCTGTACTCTATTTCAATAGTGAAGATATAGATAGCCTGAAATGGTATTTTTCTCTAAATATAGATTTTTTTGGAAATGACACTTATTTTTAATTAATTGTCAACATTTCCTTGTTCTGTTAAACCAAGCTGTGGCTACTGGGCAGTGTCAACTGTTTATGTAACATTTAAAAAAAGGAAGTAATCTACCATTCTATTGAAATGTGAAAAAATGATAAATTTGGCTTGTGTAACAATATTAGCTAGGTTTTTTTTTTTTTTTTGTATTTGTAAACCAATACATGTTTGGATTATATCTGTGAAATGTGGGCTGTTGAGCTCAGGAGGCTCCCCAGCAACATGTCTGGGTTGTGTTACTACAGAAATCACAAATGAGAGTCACCAGGTTCTTAATGCTTCAGTCCCTATATAAGTTGTTCTTATGTAGTTTCTTTTTTTGGCAAACACCTGTCTTTTTTAATGAAGATTTTAATAAACCATGTTTTATTCTTACATTTGAACTGAATATCTTCTAGCCTGAAAGCAGATAAAAAATGACATAATTTTAGTCTGGCTGGTAAGCAGACTAATATATAGATTTTTTAAAACTCTTATTTGTCTTAAAAGATGGGAGATAGATGGCATTATTTTCCGAAAAAGAACTCTTCTGAAGGTACAGAATTTTAAATCAGCTGTTAAATACTTTAAAAAAATCTAGGGATGGAAATAGTGTATAGTCATTTTGACACTGATTTTTAAAAATAATTTATAATTTGCTGCCAAATTCATTTAAGTTAACTTTATATGAATGAGCCAATAAATCATGTATTTTTGTCCTCTGGCTATTATATTTTTTCATGGACATATGTGAGAGAACAATAACTGAGCCATAGAAAGTATAGAATTCTAAGTAGAAGTATAGGAAAAAGCACCTATATAGTACAAACACACCATATATCCTTTGTGTTGAACAATGGTGATGATATGACCAATGATCTTAACAGGTGATAGACAGCCAAATCACTGTACTTTTGTGAGGTCAATTATGATAATCTTCTTCACTTGAATGATCATGGTTGAAGTAAAACTTTAAATGTGATGTTATTCATAAAAGTTTCTACAAATAACCCTTTGTATTAGAAATCTTTACACAATCCCAAACTTATCCTTTCTTAAAAGTTTTCCTCTGAGCATTGATAAGAGCTCTGTGAAGATGCTTCCATGGCCAGATATACTTGGAAAGTCTCACCTTCTGCAGGGAGGTTGGGAACGTGTTAGCATAGGAAAGTCTAAGATACATACAGCCTCGTCTAATTTTATTTGACCAAATTTATTCTAAACTTTTTGGCCATAGAAGTCCTTTTTCTAGCAAACTCTTCTGAACTGACCCAATTTCATTGTCAGGAAATAAGCATAAAGAATATTTTACCAGGATGTTTATACTAAAATGCAGTTTATTTTTTGATGTTTTTAAAATAATTAAATAAGCAGATGACTTTTACTAAGGTAAAGATTAAATAGCTTTATGATGAACATGACTACAATATGGATATAGTGTATTAGTTTGTACTGGTTAACTCACATCCCACTTTCTTTTGATGATGCAAATTATTAATAATGTACACTCTCAATGTATAAGTGCTTTTATTTATACAGTAAACATGTTTCCATGTCATTTTGAGAATTTTAAATAAACATTCAAATAGCTTGCTGTAAAGTTTTATATAATACAAAATTCATTACATATATAATATTATGAGATGCTTCAGTTCAAACAACAGTGCATTAATTCACATATATCTAAAAGACTGCCAAAGGACTAAATGTCAAGTATTGCACTTCTATTTTGAGTGGTAGCTTACATATTTTAAATTACATCAAGGGGAAATCATTATTATGAGAATATTAATTTGGTCCACTTTAAATGTAATTTCAAGGACTGTGCTTAAAATCTGTTTAAGCATGCATCCAGTAAAGAAAAAGTAACAAAGAATGTAGTGATGTTATATATTTATTTCCAGAAAAAAACATTACCCTGGAAGAAAGTAGAATTTATTAGTGCAGTTTAAACTCTGTCCAATTAAAAAATAACAAAAATCAATTTGCGATTATTTCTTTAATTGAAATATACGAATCAAGTTCACTTGTAATCTTATGACATTACTAAACTGCGCAATCAAAATAAATACTGTTTGTCAGTAATGTGCTTTTCTTTGTCCTTTCATGATGGAAAAACTCATAAATGGTATGTTTTTTCTTATTTCTTTGTAACAATTTTCTGGGAAATTGATAGGGATAAACTTATTAAAATCTGGTAAATTAAGTCTGTTGAGTAAAATCCAAGACTTTTTTCATATCCCTTCCCTTAATCTTTAAAATACAGCTATGGTTGTTTTAATATTTTGAAATTTTCATCTTAAAAAATTTCATTTTTGTCTTAACTTAATCATTGTATAGTGAATGAATCACTTTCAAATCAGTGCATAATGCTCAGGTGTCATCTATGAGTATATCTAGGTGTATATGTAGTATTCGAAGATACAAATAAAAATGTTTAGAACTCCTGTGTTAGTGATGAATGTAGAAAAGATTTTAAATGAATATTTTTTAGATTATTTATGGTAGAGTAACATTCAAACATCATATGCAAATATAAAATTTAAAATTTCTTGTATTTTAGAATACTTAGCACAAAACTACTTTCCAGCAGAACACTGGAAAAATTAGGAAAAATTTCTGTCTCACTATCAGTTCATTATCTAAATGCTAGAAAAATCTGTGCTTTTAATTATTTCCTGCCATACCTCTTTCTACTTGTTTTTAAACATTATTTTTCTGGCATATAAAGAAGAGGGGCTCATATATTTAATATTCATTTTATCCAAGTAGCTTGGTAATGTGCTGTTTTGTGTTTTTATTTTGTGAGCATTCAAAATTCAGATTTGCCTCTGTGTATCTGAGTGTATGGTAAGTAGACATAGGTAGTTACTGTGATATGCCAGACAGTTAGAAAAGGAATAGGGTTTTCCTTTGTGCAAGGTATGTTTCCAGGTGTGCCCATTGTGTAACATCAAGAGATGGTGGCAGTTTGGAAAGCTTACAGGATGAAGAACTGGGCTAGGTCATCATTTAATAACTACTTTTCTGAGATATGTATGCCATGAGTGATTAGTTCCCAATTCTGATACACCATTGGGTAGACTCTAGCCTTTCCCTTAAGAGTAAAATATAAATACATACAGGTACATGCATACAGTCATTTGCATTCCAGTTGAGTATTATTTAATCACATTTTGTTTTGCTATGATTACTGGAATTTCAAAGGATAATCTGAACAGTGTTGGTATGAATGTTTCAGAAACATATAATTAAAGAACCATGTTCTTTTGAAAATTGTAAGTCACTTGAAAATGATCTTAGGACTTACTGCACTTTTAAGTGCATATTTAATTTTCCCCAGCTATCTAAATGCAGGACCCTCAAACTTATTTCATTCCAGGAAATAATTTATTTTATGGAAAATTTAAAAATATCATCAAGCTCAATTATAAAAATTGATGTAATATTTTCTGCTATCTGTATTTGGTTTCTTTTTCATTTATCATATAGGGAAATGTTCCATTGAGGCTTTTAAAATATTAAACTGTGGAGAATTTTAAATCAGTAAAGAAACTAAACTGTCCTTAGCTTAGTATATGCCACATAAAGACCAACACATTTTATTTAAAAGGGTTTTTATAAAGATAGCTTGATTTTTTTCTTCAAGAATAGAGAAGAAATTCATGGAGAAATTAAGAACCTATGAAACTTAAAAAACTATTATTTGCATACATTCATTCTTATTATGAAAAAGTTATTTTACATGAAGTTAAGGCCTGTTTAGACATCAGAAATTTTAAGTAAACATTAACAAATGTTTTAGTCAATTACCACTGTGGTCATGAAGGGCAATAACTGAAATACTTTTATATTTCTCTAATTTCAGATTAAGTGCTTCTTACCACTCAAAGCAGCTTACATAATGTCCTAATGGAACTCAGTAAAAGTGTAGCACTGTTACAATTATGTGATTTTGTAAAATATGTCAGCAGCACCATGCCTATATCTAGTACTGTGCCTAGTAAAATGTTGGAAATAGTTGGCTTCTCTAGTAAAAGTGTCCTAGCTAACTAATGAGCTTTACTTTCTTTTTCCCCAAAATAATTTCTTTTACAAATTCTTGAATTTTTCATGTATAAATAGATCATAAAGTATGATTCATTCTTAAATTATGTATATATACTATATTTTCAATACAACTTGTACACTTCTTTTAGCTACCAAAAATTTGCAATCATTTGTACATGAAATTTACATTTTACTTATTTACAGTTATTTGTATGTTATTGCAAAACTAGTTGTGCAAGTAGATTACACTGTCAATATCACATAACAATCTTAGAAGAAAATATTGGCTAAAAATAAATATTTCTGCACAGAATATTTCAAAAGCATCATGATTTCATGCTACATTATGTGCATAAAGTGTACAAAGTAGTGTGTGTTTTGGTAGATTGTTTCATTTAGCTTAAAGCATTCCAAAATACTACTTAACCAGATGTGAGTGAGCTTCTTTATATCAGATGACTGACATTTTCAAGCAGTCACACACATTGTTTTTGTAGTTATTCTTCAACTGGCAAACATTCTGATATAATACATTTTTTCATCAAAATTATAAAATGAAAATTTCAACTAAACAGAGGTAATGTGTCTTTAATTAAAATCAATAGATGCCTAGGCAATAACAGTACTTCTCAATATTTTTACCTTATTTCTTTAACATTTGGAAGAACTGTTGCATACCATTTCAAAGCTATTATAATTATATGAGCATTTTAGGAGACTGAGGAGATAATTATAAGATTACTGATCCATGAATTCTACTTCTAAATATGGATGATGCAAATGGTGTGAACTTTTCTTACTTAAGCACAGTATATGTAAGTATGGAAAAAATACAGTTAAAATGCTCACAGTTTTGACTGTTTTCAAATTAAAAAATCAATATAATACACAAAGGATGTACAAAGAATATGTAGTGCTTTAAAACCACAGGCATATTAAATTATTTAACATTTTTCAAAATATAAATGGAAGCCACAGATAACATAATTTAGAAATTCATCTTATTTTGGATATTAACTTCTCAAGAATAACAAGATTAATATTGCTACATTTAATAATAAAAACTTTTATTGGGAACATTTCTATAATCTTGCTCTTATTTAGAAGTTTGATTTTGATTGATAGAGCAATAAAACTGATCAATTGATTATATGACTGTATATTTGTATACGTTTAATTCTTATATTTATAGTAGTAACAGTTTTAAGTAACTTCTGATTAGTTATCTGAACTTCCACTTAATATTCTATATGAATGTCTTATAGTAATTTCTTCCCATACTTGTCAATTATTCATTCACGCCTTCTGTGAATTTTCTTTTCTGTATTGGATGTTAAAATAAAGTGTATTTGTACCACAAAAGAATGCAATACATTATTCTAATCTTGGGTACTAATCAGTCACAATACTTAATACTTTATAAAGCATTTAAAATATGAGCTTTTCAGTTTTTAAAAGGTTAGTATCACTTCATTACAAGTGTAATGGCAAGAAAATAGCTTTGTATAAGAAGACTTATAAGTGAGGGAGAAAGGAAGAAGCTATTGCACACCTAGAAAACAATTGTAATGTGAATGTGTAATTTTGTGACTGCTGGACAAAGGCAATACTTGACAACTGTCAGAGTGGGAAAACAGAGAAGGTTCCCCATCACTGACATTCTCTTATTCTGAGCAACTAGATCTTTGGAAGGTGTGTGTGAATCATGTCATAGACTTTTGTTATAGAGTTTAAGAAGGGGAGCATTGGCTAGGAGAATAAACAATGAGAGTTTCTTAGATCTTAAGTGGTGCTATTATCTGAGTCATACTGTACTCCATAGTTCACAAAGTACTTCCACATTTTTATTTGAGAGGATCCTCAGCACTTTCCTTCAAGATGTGTCAGAGGATATCTCTGTTTTTACAGTTTTGGATACTGGGGCTCACTGATGGTTTGTCTCAAGAGAAAGTGGAGAAGGTAGTGTTTCAATTCAGGTTTACCACATTGCATCATTTGTCATTTCCACCATTCTACATGAGAGCTTTGGCAGGTGAAGATCTATAAAATGTATCTGTACAATAACAGAGTGGGTATAGGTGCCTGAAAAAAGTCATTTGTAACTGTAAAAGTCTATTTTTTGTGTGTGAAAAATAGTGCATTTACTTTCAAAATTGTATTTTGTATATATCTTTTCAAATGTCCCTCTGGGAACTATCTCATGTCTAAAAAGGAACGTCCACAGTGTGCCAGGATTTATAAAATACGTTCGAATGGTACTGAAATGGACACATCACCTTTGTATACATGGTGCTTAACAAAGATTTAGAGTATATTTGATTTTAACAATGAGATTCATAGTTTTATTATTATTATTCTACATAGTATCACTTTAAAGCCATAAATCTAATACAGTCAGTCCCTGACTGACAAATGAGTTCTGTTCGTAAGTCGGATTTGTAAGTCTGACAGTGTCCGACTTTGACACAAATATACAATATAAAGCATAAAAAATTACAGTAAGTCCCTGAATGTACTCCACTACTGTAATACAGCACAGTAAGCACACAGCAGCACAATGGTGACAATGTCTGGCAGATACATAAGCTACTTCTGCGATTTGTTCATATCTACAAATGAATGTGAGGTCCATTCGTATCTGTGAAGGTTTGCAATTCAAACCTTCATAAGCTGAGAACTTACTGTAGTGCAAATTACAATTAATAGAGATAAGATGACTACACTTATGTTTTCTGAGTCAAAAACTTTAGTCTTGATAACTGCTATTCAATTGAAGACTGCACATTGTGCAAAAGCTAAACTGTGGTAATATGTTTTCTTGATTGTTTACATTGTCAACTTCCAGAATGAGAAACAGTCTGACTTTTTGAGCATCTACTATGTGCTAGGCACTTTACTATATTTTATCTCATTTCTTCCTCAATCTTTTGTGAGCCAGGTACCACTATCCTATTTTTATAGATTCAGGAAAAAGATATGGGAGGTTAGTCAATTGGTCACTGAGCAGATTAATGAGAGGGGTCCTGTTGGGATGAAGTTGGTCTGACTGCAGAGCCTCTTGGCCCCTCCACCTGCTGATATCAAGTTTTTCATGTATAGAAGGATCATTTGGGAGAGCTTGTTAAAAGATGTCTGCTAGTCCCAACCCCACAGCTTCTGATACACTAGATCTAGGGCACTGGCTAAGAATATGTGTTTAGAACAATTCCTGCGTGATACTGGCACTGTTAATTTAAGAGCCACACTTTGAGGATGACTGTCCTACGTCATCCTGTCTCTCAAGTGCTTCTTAGAACTCAGATGGTAGACATATTCATTTTACTGCAAAAGAAATGTGATTAGAAACCTGATAGTACTTGAATTTATAACTACATAGTTTTTAATTTGTAAGAAATCTAACATTGATCTACTTTTGGATTTATTCATGGATAAGCAATTTAAAGCCTGCATTATGTTGAATTATAAATTAGTCAGTGTTATAATTCATCTCTAACAACTGATCAATCCACTGAATTCCTTTTCTTAAACCATGAAAAATATTGAGGAAAGGTACTTGTTAGTAATGATTATTATTTTAAATATGCTGAAGAGATAAATTTTATCCTAAGCTAATACTGTATTGATGAGGTTTTTAAAATGACATTTGTGTGAGAATGTTTTTCTTCTAGGAGTTTTAAAACAATTGCTGAAGATTAACCTCCAAAAGGACCTTGTAAGCAATTCTGATACATACACAAATATACTAAACCTGATTCTGCCCAGGCAGGTAGCTCAGATGTAGAGCCCATGCCTAAAGCAAAACTACAAAAAATAATAAATAAAATAAAATGAAATGAAAAGCCTGACTCCTAAAGCTAGTATACCCTGACTTAGTTTCCATACATCCTGACAAGAAGAGCAGGAAAGTTCAGTTCTGAAGACCAACCCATTAAAATGGACTTAACAAATTATGCTGTCCCAAATCTGCCGCCTTCTATTTTTCCCATGTTTGTTGAATTAGTGATTATTAAATTAAAACCTCTGTGAAACACTGCTTCAACATTTCTTATTCCTCCCTTTTTTATCAACTAAATATAGGAGTACTCATGAGGTAACATAATCGGTCTAAATTTCAGCTCTCTGTTCAGCAATTAATAGCAGCATCTAATCTGCACAAATTTAGTTTTAGATGGCATTTTATTTTGGCTAGGGGACCAGATAACACTATTTTTAGATGGAAAGCAAAGGGGGTTATACTAGTGCTTCTGACTACCTTGAAGGAAAGTAGTTGCTATGCTAATATTTTGAGTGGCTGCAACAGTGAGACCTGGCCTTCAGCAGGACCCTGGGATAGAGGTGTCAGATTGCTTTCTTTAGCTGATGGGCAGGGTGATGGTGCTTTTGGGAATTAGATCTTTGGCTAGGGCAAGGGGATGTATTTTGTACAGCAAGATAATTGCTTTAGTCATCTATAAGTCAGTTTAACCACTAAGTCCTCTGACATTTATGTCAGACTAACCACATCTATCTTGCTCAGGATCTTTTTAAGCTAATATTCTGTAGGAAAGGACCTTCATGATCTCATCCAACTTTCTGAAACTTAAGATTTTAATATCAACCAATAATTTTATGTCAAAGAACAACAAAAACAACAAAGGTTTGTCATATGCTAGAATTTAAACAAGTTGGATGCTTATGTATTATTCCCTATCTTATTCCTGCAGGCTGCTTTTATAAATAGAGGTTTTATGTGGAAGGCTGAATTTTATGGATGTCATACCAAATAATGCAGCTGAAGCATTCAATAATCAAACAATCAGATCTCAATTCCTCACCTGCCAAATTCTCTCTCCCTACAAAGGAACAGTCTCTGGTGAACTCATTCTGAATGTGTGTGGAGCTTAGGCAGAGAATCCTTATAAAATTTGTTGCAGCTGCAAAAGTGTGCCCCAGTATGGAAATAAAATCCCTAAATGGACCTCAGAATCAAAATTAGCCATTTATGTGACTCTCTCCCCTGCTAGGCCTCCATTGTAGAATGAAGGGTTGGAAGTGGCAGTTACTCAGTTTTGTATATATATAACCCCAAATGGTTTGGGAAGCTGGTTTTAATTGTAATACTTTCACTGAATTGACTGTTTTATTCCCCATATTTGATTTTTTTTTTTAGAGATAAGAATATGTTCATGCCTACAGATTACCTCCTATACAGGTTAACAATTTCTGTGACCATTTAAAAGTACATTTAAGAGCATTTAAGGCATTTTGAGAGCCCCATTAATCACATTTTAAATAATGCAATAGTTTTTTTTGTAAATTTAAATAAGTTGCTTGCATTTGACAGTGATGAATACATAAGTGTAAAAGTTGATGTTAAATCAATAGATCATATTTTTGTCATGTACAGAAGGAAATTAACCCACATGATAATTTGGAGGTATATTTCTTTTAAGCTATAGGTGAGAGTAAGAATTGGTAAAGAGCTAAGAAATTTTCAATGAATTTCAAAAATTTTGTCCAGAAATGATGTAATGAATCTGTAATAATTTTAAAATTAGACTTGAAAAATAAACTTTCTTAAGTAGAACTTGACTGATCAAAATCTTTAACTTTTAATGTTTTTCTGTACACTGATTTTATGCCTCCTCAAACTTAATAGGTGAAGATATTAAAATATATTCTGATATTCTAGGGCCAATATATGTTCAGTCTTGTCCACATATAGTAGAATTTGACTTGATTTTCAATCAGTAAGTGTCTGAATAACCAAACAAAATTGGTGTTTTACTCCTGGTGTGTGTGTGTGTTTTCTTTCTAGGCTGGTAAACGCACATTGCCTTTCCACACCTGGGATTAGAAAGATGGAGTAAAATGTACACTTAATGAAAGATGGGTTTTGCCATACAAATCCATGGAAATTACATATTCATTGAAAACTATGTTTGTATTTTAATCAAATTCAAGATTGCTCTAAAATATGGATAGGAAGGAAGCTATGGATATCAGTTTGTGTTTGTTACATTTTAATAATTCTTTAGGAGAATGCCCTTCACACACACACTTCACACACACACTACACACACACACACACACACACACAAAGCAAAATTAGAGAATATTGTTTTTTAGCCTTTGAGGAAATGTACCTGTGTAAAAACTTTTAGAAGGTTTGTGAACACAATTAGTGACAAAATGTTAAATAGAAAGACCCTTTTACTCTTCATTAATGTTGACTTGTATTCATGTTGAAGGAAACCAAAATATTTCTCCCCAATATATGAAGGATTGTTTAGCTGAAGACAATAAAAATGCAGCAAAGCTTCCAGCCTTCTCAGTATGTTTTCCTAAAAGCAGGACAAAGATTCACAAAGACAAAAGGTCTTTGTATATTCCTCCCACTTTCCTGCTTAAAGACAGGATCTAAATTTTTCTTTGCAACAGATTGCTTTTCAGATGAGACACTGCAGGCCTAGAGAAATCTGGGAGCAGACCTTATGCCTTCCCACTGTTTCCCCACATTTGGAAGCCTGGACTGCTTTCTTCTTTGTCCTGTCACTTTTCTAAAATGTATTGCTCTTTGCCAAAAGTCTTATGTAAGCTGAGATACCAAGCCACTGCCTTGAGTTACATTGGAACCGAAGTTTCTCTCATGTGAGGTATACTGCATTCATCAACAAACTTGCTTGTATTTCACTTGTTCTGCTTTTTGAAAGGGTTTCCCTATACGAATATTAAGGATTAAGGAAAACTTATATTTTCTCCCCTTTAGTATATTTGGAGATGGCTTCCTATACTGTCCTATATTTCCTATACTATATTTATAAATCTCAGACCACATTTTTCTCAGTGTGGGGAAATGAATGTAACTGACCAAAAATCTCAATACAGAAGGATATCTGTTCTCAAGAGTAAGCTCCCTTTATCCCCTTGAACTTCCACAAATTGAAGATCATCTGAGTTGAATAGTTTCATCCCTTGGTTTCTTACTTGCTTGAAAGGCATCTTCATAGTAAAGTACTTGTTTAGTAAAAGCAATAAATAGGATTCTCCATGCAAGAGAAATTGGAGTTTCCTAACATGCACATGATTTAGAAAATAAAAACAAAATGTAAGGTGCCTAGAGATGCTGGCAGTTTTAACATTTGGAACCAAAAGTTCTTAAGTATATTTACATCCAAACTGCTCAATTTTACCTTACAAGCTTCAATTTAGGAAAATATACAGTACTTTTGCATATAATGGTAACTTAGCCCCTGAGTCGAGTAGAGAATTTAAATACAAAAAGGAAAACAGCCATTAAAAGCACTTACATTGTACTTGGAATAAATAGTACAAAATGATTATTTCCCTGGAAGACCAGGATCAGAAACATGCCTATGAAGACTCAAGATTCCTACAGTGCTTAGGGAAGAATCTGGCAAGGAGGGATGCCTAATTGGATGGAGGTAAGTTTTTCTTTGTCGCAGGTGAAGCTCTAAAGAGACATCACTGTCTTGTTTTAAAAGTGAAGTCAAGTTGTCTTCTGAAGCTGTGTTCAAATGCACCCCGCTTGAGAGGGATTCTTTGGATTTAAGTTTAGATTTTTCAAGGTCTAGAAATTCAGGAAACTGACAGAAAGAAAAGAAAACACTTTTTGTAATTCACACCAACAATCATCTAAAATTATACTCATAAAACCCAAATGTATTTTCTTAATGAACCTAATTTGATTAGTGGTATTAACCAACATATTCCTAGAATGATTAAAACAATGGAGCCTCAATCATCAGTTTAGACAATTCTAAAACAACAATTCCAAGAACTTTAATTTTACTCTGAAGTTATATTTAGAAGATCAGGTTTTGAAAAATATTTTACTTTGAGTTTTCCAAATGAGTTTTAATTCAATATTTAAAATAAAGCTGGGGTGGGTCCAGAAATGTAGTCACTTGATCATTAGTTGTACATGAGAAAGAAGAAGAAAAAGAAAGAAAATTGCCAGTCTCATCAGATAACATAACTAAGTCCATTGAAAACAAAAAAATTCATGGTTTTACATGTTTTGAACTCTTGATGATCCTCCTGCTTCAGTATCCTGAGTTCTGCAATCACAAGCATATACCACCACACCTGGTTACTAAATCCTTAGTAAAAGCATCATTCTTAGGTTGCATTTGACTATGATATTTAATTATTTAAAACTAATGCCCAAAATAGAATTCCAAGGCAGTTAGACCTTTCATATTAATGTAATTCGAAGAGGCATTCTTGGAGGGCTCCAGAAAGAAGATAAAGGACACTTTGCATTGCTCTTTTAACCGTGCCTAGGATTCAGGTTAAAAAAATTTAGAAATATCTGGTGATGAGTGGATCACAGAGGAATTACTAATCTGGTTACATTTGAACCTCGGGTGTAATCTGGCCCACTGCTACTTCTCTTTCCTTTCTGAGGTCCTGCCCACCCTATATCTCTTCATTGGATCGCGTCGTAGATTTTTCTCTTATGCATTTTTTGGATCTAGGACAATTCCTTAACTTTTAAATCTCTAAAGCATGTATATTTACATAGGTTGATTCTTGAAAAAAATATTTTTCTTAAAAAATGCCTGCTAGTGTTTAAAATTATTCTTCTAAGTCTATTATTCTCAAACTTTAAAGGAGCATAATGCAGACTAAAGGACTCACTATCAGAAATTCTAATTGAGTAGAAATAGAGATGGGGATGGAAATCTATATTTTCTGCAGCATCCCAGGAGATTGTTAGGTGGTCTCTTGACACATACTTTGAATTACACTCTTGGTTGTGCAGTATCTACACTCACTTGTGAGGAGGGGCTGAAACTCCGGTCAGTCTTGATGGATGCTGTGGGATGACTGGTTCTCATCAGACGGAGGATGGGTCTCTGATACTCTGCTCCAGCAGTTACCATGCTGTAGGCTGGGGGGACCACAGTGGTTTGTTTCTGCAGTAGCTGTAAGATGGTCTGGATGTCTGCTGTCATTTGGGATTCAAGTCTGCAGTCAAGACAGATGGAAAAGGAAAGACAATTCTAAAATAGTCCAGTATTGCAAAAGCATCTGAACAAACTTCAGCTCTACCAAGAAACAGAATCAGGTCCCTGCTTTAAACAAAAAGGACAGGAGAGGGAGCACAGAGCTTCTTTTCTGGGTGATACTTTCTGTGTCTCACTAATGATCTGATAAAGACCATTATTTTCCTGCTCATTTATTAAGAATTAGCAGAACAACAGATGGGAGGGAATAAACGGCATTTTTACTAACCTTTATTGACTTCAAAACATAAAACATGTTAAGAATCTATTTTTAATCAGGAATTATCTTTGACTATTTATTAGACTTCCCACAGTTTCTTTTGAACATTTACTCTTTAAACGAGAGGGCATTAGTACATTGCTTTCATAGTTACAGAATCTCAGGAGAATTTTTTATGTGTTCCAAATTTATATTTACATTATTTCACCTTCTCTTTCTCCTATTCATAGCAAGTATTGCATATTATTCATTGTATTCTTTCTTTAATGTTAAATGCTGTTAAATGCTATTTTCCCATCTGCAGCTCAGGGCTTTGGTATTTAAGAAGAAAACTAACCTTAAAAGTTTTTTGGTTTCTATGACCTATGTGACTTGCAAAATACTAGCATGACTGTTGTTCACAAACATCCAACTGGATTGCTAATATGATTCTCTCTTAAAATTAAAATTCAAGGAAAGATGGCAAAACATATTTGGTCTGATTTCCTTCTGCTGCATTTGTTAACAATAAATACAGAGGGAATTTTATAGACATAAACAAAATTTGTATCATGTCTGTGGAAAATTCTTCTAAATCATTACTTATTTGTTTCTACTATTTTGTGTCTAAATGAAAATATGCAAAGAAAAAGTAAATCTTAGAAATAATTTTGCTTAATTAAGCATGTCATATATCTGTGGAATTTAAAGTGGAGTAAATTAGACTTTGACTTGAAAGAAAACTAAAGAAACATGGAAAATATGAAAAAAGATCAGCCTTTCTTTTTTTTTCAATATGAACACTCCAAATATTCCTTCTGAACATCACAGTAACATATCCTTAAAGGATTTCTATAGTTGGTAAACGTAACTAGATATTTCAGTGTCTTCTAAATCAGTAACTATAACTTATACCTGATTATGCCCTGCATTTATCAAAACCACACACCAGCAGGATAAAAATGAAATTATCAACTGGTTTCTTTACTTACTTTCTACTTAACGATCTAATATTTTATGGCACCACTAAACCCAATAGATAGACTCATCATTTTACAATTTTGAATCAATTTTTCTTTTTATTCTTCAAGACCCAGCTCATATTTTATTTGCACCCCCAAATTTTCACTGATTTAATTCAAATTCCACCACTGTATTTTCTCTCTGAGCTTCCAAAGATAATTCTACATTAAAAACTTACCCTAAGTATTTCTTTATAAATTTATCTCAGTAGTTTTTAATAATGGGTGGTTTACATGATATTTACTACATGATGTTTATTACTATTACCCTTATTATTGAGACAGACCACTAAATATAAAAGAATTTGGGGGTGGGTACTAGAACAAAAAACCCCATCAACAAGTAGAATTCAAGGTCCAGTAGAGAGTGAAAACTTATGATGATGATTTTGAATCCTCTGTTAGTGCAGTCTCTTAAGAATAGAAGCTCTTTCTCACAGATTCTATTTGAAAAATATGTAAGAGATCAGGAGTAACTTGGTAGACATGGGGGGAATTTATAAGACATATTAAAAACAGATGCATATATATGCTAGTGACCAGCAAGACATACCAAAGACAGACTGGAAATGTGATATAACAAACAAGAGTGGTGCTTATAACAGAAAGAGATGAAAAGAACAAATTATTCTTATGTCATTTCTGGGAAGACAACTCCCATCCCCCAATTTGACCACCCATTGGTAATACCCAGGATAGTCTCATTCTGGATCTCCATGCATTCTCCCAAGAAAGCCCAGTAAAACATGGTTGTTGACCTGGATAATTTAAAAGTCACAGCTGTGTCCAGGTGGACCAGGCCATGTGTCTCTGTGATAGTGCCAGTGAATGACACTGGCACAGATTTAGTTTTGGTCTATAAACTCCTCTGGGAAAACCTCAAGTCTGATCCTTGTAACAGACAAGGAAGGCTGATGAAGCAGATGTGTGAACACTGTCTAAATTAGGATTCAAGTAGTGTGGCTCTTTTACTGTGCTTGCACTTATTTGAAATGTACTAATTACCCTTAATTACAATGAGTGATAATTATCCTTGTCACTCATTGTATGCTTTAAATTGATTTAATAAATCCTTTGATTTGAACATTTTAATTTAATCCATGGAGTTTTCCATCAGTGACCACAGGGATACCTTTCCTGGGGTGTACATGAAGACTATCATTGGATCAAGGCAAATCCTCAAATGAAATTCAACCGAAGCATCTATAACATAGTCATATTTTCCCCTGAATCCCTTTAACTCAACGACAGACTTTAACAAAACCACACAGACTTGGGTGAAGTCATTACCTCCTCCCTAAAGCCAAAATGTGTTGCTCACAATAAATGGTCTTAATCAAAGTTAGTTGAAAGGAAAATGGAGAGACTGATCTTAAACTTAATTCATTCACATTTTGGACAATTTGACTGCATAACTAATTGTTTAAGTCACTTTTTCAGTATTTTTAGATGCCATAATACATGATTAAATTATCAAGAATAACTGAAAAATATAAAAGAAAATTTAAAGGAAGAAAAGTATTAGTTAAGCACAAATTGTTTTGAAGGCAGAATAAAAATAGTTTTCTAAAGTTGTCAGTGCTGATGATATACTAATTAGATGATAAATAAAGAAAAACTAGGCCATATATTGCTAATAGTATGAAATATTCTAAACAAATGTCCCTTGCAACATAAAATGATAATTCTGTCCCCTTCTAATCTTATTTCAAATAAGTGTATATAAAAACCTAAGGGATCATGGCAAAAGGAATTTGCTGCTTACAAGGAGCAGAGCTGGATATGTCTAAGGGATTGGTGAGGCTGTCCTTTGGCCCGGTACTACTTTTACCTGTTAAGTTGTTCTTGAAGCAAATCCAGTCTTTGTTCCACTTCCCCATAGGTGAGGTCACTCTCGGTTTCCGAAGTCCCCCAGGCAGCTCGCTGAAGTGCAGAGGGACTACACTCATCAGGCTGGGCCCTGGTGTGCTCTCCTTCCCAGCTTCGCATGTCAGTGATATCTGTATAAAAAGCAAGCAGAAGTCACCTTTCTTGGGTGCTCCTTTGCCTGAGTGACATGTGTACTCCCAAGACAGGCTGGAAAGGGTCTTGGGGTGTAACCTGAGAGACAGAGGATGAGAGAGGCTTAGAGACATGACTAAGGGCCATGACCAGTTTGTAGTAGAGTCCTACTGTCATGCTGCCTGCCTTTCCCACATCCACTTTCCTAGCATTAAAAATTACAGTAGATCAAGAGTCTTGGTTATGATTTTGCTGTCTTTCTGTTTCTGCTAAGAAAAGATATGGATGGCTGAATCAAAATAGATTAGAGAGCAATGATTTTGTGCTTTTAAATTTGGCCAGAAGTAGCACATTTAATTCATACTGTTTTACCTAGGATATAAAATTTGGGGGGCTCCTTCTCATAGGATAATTTACAATTCTTTTGTGACTCATAGTGTGCCCAAGGACAAAGTTCTGAAAGAAATGCTGAACTTTAGGGTGATTTTTTTAGGGCAACCCAATTCAAACCAGAGCCAAGAAGCCATAAACAATTAAAGATGAGAATTCTTACAAGTTCTCATATCTCAATCTGCTGGTTTATATTTTATACTTCCTTGTATCTCCATCCGCAATGTGTTTTATAATCACATTGCTTTCCAATTTTTTTTCCTGTGGCTCTTTAAATTTGTTTTAAAACAAATTACTTATCTCTTTAAGGCTACTCTTCCAAAATTCTGGAGCATTTGATCTGTGCCAGAAATTTGGCTAAATGTGGAAGAATAAAGAAAAAGTAGGCAAAGGCCATGGGGTTGTAGAATTCAGTCTAACAAGGTCGTAATCATTTTCATGTAGATTCATTTTCTGAGACTCTTTTATTGTTCCTCTTAGAATCTATATTTCCAAGTTATCGATATTTGAGGATAACTATATCTTATTTTCTCTCTCATTTTTGTCATATACATTTGATACTTTTACTATACTTTCTTAACCTCCACAAAATAATTAAAGATTTTGAAAATAAAACCCATGAAAATCTGCTACTAAAGTTGGGATAAAGAAGACGACACATTTTTTTCCTTACAAGAGGGTTGGTAAGAGGGAAGGACCACTTCCAAATAGTCTTAGCTTTGATGTGGTAATAAATTTGAATTACAGAAAGTGATTTTGATAGAAAGGCTTAAAAATCTTGACAAGTAGCTATGATTAAACACTGAGAAAATTTATTACATGAAGTTATAGAATTACATCCTCACCTATTTAAAAAATGGATAGTAAGTAACTGAACTGGGCAGAATTAACTATGATTCTAGAAATAGAGGACAGCATTGTACAAGTCCCTTTCCTATAGTTTCTCAAAAAGTTGACCAGGGAGGTTAACTGTACTCTTTTCTCTTAAGTAGAACAAAAATTCTACATGCTTATGGTTTTTCTCTTACTGTCTTTAATCACTTAATATACAAAAATTTCTGTAATGAAATGCCTAAAATTTTTGCTTCAGTAGAGAAAGCTGTAAAAAGGAATAAGCATATCCAAAGATAGAGCTCATAGACTTGACTATGAAGCTTCTGATTATGACTTCTTTACCGTACAGCATCCTAGAGGTTAGTTTCTCTTTTTAAAGGGACAGTTTATCATTTATTTTGGTATTTTACCAAACATGAGAAAATGTAAATAGACATAAGAAAATGGTAGAGTTTTAAGTGATTTACCAGAGATTTTCACTACGAAGTAGGATATATTATTCATAAACATTTGAATCCATGTAAAATGCAAAATAATAATACAGTATCTTAGTAAACCAGATTTTCAACTTTGAGTCAGCAATGCCAAATAAGCATTCAGAACACCTAAATGGTTTGGTGATGTCAACACTTGCCTTGTCTAGTCCCCTGATAGCCAGTTCACATTTGAGCATTTCTTTAGAGAAGATGAGAAGTGATAGAATTGAAGTTGGTCATGAACTTTGTAATAAGAAAACTTACAGAAATTCTGTATCTGCTCAACAGCTCTCTCATTTTTAAATGACATATAATAAATTGATTTTTAATGACAATGGTGAATCATATACAATAAATTATGCAGCATACTATTTTTTCTTTAGTACTCAAGAAAAAATTATTGCCTTAGCAAAAATTAATGAAATGTACTGTGAGACAGATGCTTCCTTTATTATAATTTACACATTAAAATCTAGAGATACATGATTAGCTTGTTTTAACAGCAATGTAAAAAATGAGGAGTCAGAGGGGAAATCTTGGCTAGTGGACTTAATCAAATGAACATCCTTGTAGACATACATTTTCTAAATATAGTTCAGACAGAATCAGTACTTGGTTGCCTTGGAAAATGTTGCCATAGTTGCAAGGCTATAGTTGCAAATGGATGAATAGAAAGTAAACTTTCATTTGTTTTGGGTAAACAATATTCCTGAAGTTAACCTTTGACTTTAATATAACTAGGATGAGTCTATTCCTTTTACTCTGTGTATACAATTTTCCTACAGTCAGCTTTTAACCTTAATATAAGTACAACAAGTCAATTTTTAAAAAGTTTTGTCTAAATGTGTTCTTTTGTTGGACTCAGAATGACAGATGCCAAGAATATGAAAAAATAAAATTTCTCATCGATGAAGAAACTAAAGTTTGTTAGTAGTTCAAACTTCAGTAGTTACAGCCACACCTTACATATTATTAAAGTTCTTGACCCTTACACAGAATTTCATTTTATAAGTCATTAGGGAATAAATTTACAGTGAATCATATTTTAAAATTTTACATTAGCTCATCACATTAACCAATTATGCTTTGCATCCTCTGGTTTGGAGCTATATGGCACCAATTGTTTCTTTCATTCATGTGCATATTTAGGTATGCATTTTCAAGATATTTATTACTTGAATATGGATTATAATATACATTTTTGAAATACATTTGGAGGTATTAAAATAGTTTGTTAGAATATATTTTTATTGGACAGCTGATATAGCTAATTAAAAATCGGAAGAAGCAACAGAGAAAAATATAAGATAAAGGAAATTAGAATTTACTGCAAAGGAGAAACGTTATATAATCAAATAAAATCCCCAGAATATATCTTTAATGACTTGTCACTCAAAAGACTAAAATTCACTATGAAAACAACAAAAAGCACTTATTTTTTTAAAAGCAAGCCCATAGTATGCTACTTTTGGATATAGTAGATATTGTTCAGCAAGCTCATCAGAATTTTTGACTTCTATGATACAACCAGTTTCTATTTTTAGCACTTCTCAGAATCCATTTTCATAAATAACTAAAATGGGACATTTGGTAATCACATGTAATATTCCATTCTTCCACTGTGATAAATTAAGTACTATTTTCATTCATTTCATCAAGATTTTAAGATTGTCCAGGGGACATTTGCATATATTCTTAGATTACTTTCACGTGTGGTTCTGGCAAAAGCTGGTTTGACATGATAGGAAAGTAATGGACAAATATAAAGCCCAAAAATGAAATCTTTGTGTTCAGATATGATCTTTTGAAATAATATTAGTGATGATAGGTGATGTTTATTTACTTTGTGCAACATTTTTGCTCTCTGCTAGGCCAAAACTTTCTATTTTTCCTTCATTTTTATTATAGTCTTTCAATGTTTTGATCTGCTTTTACATTTTTAGATTTGTTTTAATATCTAGGGACATATTAAATGATAAAAAGTTTAGAGAATAAAATTTGTGAGGAAATACTAGAGTTGGAGATTTTTATTTCAGAGAAAGTAATTTATGCTTTATCTAATAATCATAACCAAGTAGTCCATTAGGTAAGATTATTCCTATTTTCAAAATGTGCAAAATGAGACTTAGTAGGATTGGTCAAGTCACTTATCCAAAGTTATAAAGTGACAGAGTTAGTCTTGGAACCCAAGCAGTTTAACCTATATCTGTTATGGGCACCACTTCATAGCTAGCTCTGGCTTGTGTTATGCTAATTGCTCTTCTATGTAACAGTTTTTAAAGTTTTCTTGAGTTTTTCATCCTCTAGCATTAAAGTTACACATATTAATCAAACGTTATTACTCATCTCTTGTGTATTTTCTACAACAAAATTAATAATTTAGTATTTCTTTTAGTAAGGATGTTAAAAAATATTTTATCATGAATGTACTTCATTTCAGGATATTTCTCTTCTCTTTTTTATAATTTGCAAGGAAATAAAATTCTTTTTAGTATATATTGTAATGTGATAGCATTGACCCTTCATACTATAAAACTACAAGGTTGGGAGTAAGAAATGGGTACAGAAAGTACATATAAAGAACCAACCCATAAGTTCTCTTAAATATTCATTCATCCTCTCTTCATTGGAATCATTTGCTCTCATAGGTTTTCTCACAGTTTTCTACCTGATACTGCATTAAATCTAGCTGGCCACAAATATCTTTCATGCTAATATTATTTGGGAATAATTACTGCTCACTCCAGAATTATGCAAACATGTTGTAGAGGATTTAAAATCTGAACTGTTTGCAAATGTTTCACAAATTTAAAAAGATCAGCTTCATATGTGTCAGTGTGGTTCTTAACTTGTAAAAATTCACCATTTTAGAGTAAACATTAAAGAGAGACAACCTGGTACGTGAGTCTCCATTACCTCTGCAAGAGTGACTCCTTTTATCTGTGTGCATTCTTCCTGAGGTGGGCATTGTTTCTTCAAAATGAAGCCCAGTTGCTTTCCCTAATCTTGGAGTAGAATCTACTGTTCCTGAAAAGAGAGGCTTTTGCTCATCATCAATGGAGGAGATGAAAGATGATGATCTACTTTTTTTCTCTTCAAAGTGTTTCTTGGAACTCTGATAATGTCTTATGGTATCCGCAGAATCTTCAGGATCATTTGTACTGCTTTCTTTGCCAAAATCTATCATAGAAAAGTTATTTTATAACAGACAATCAAATGTGAGACTCTTTGCATATTATACTTCTTGGTATATAAAACCTTTTTCCCATGGTAACGGCTTAGAGGATATATTTTTAAAATTAAGTGGTTAAAATTATCTTTATGAAATAAATTATTAATTTCAAAATTAAAAGAAAATTTGTGATAAAACTCCATTTTCATGGAGGTTTTCCTCAGCAGAATTAAAGTTTAGATTTCAGAGAAAACAATAGGATAACATAAACTTATTTATACATGCTCAACTGTCACTTGAATTCTGAGAATCTGGTACACTCTCTCTTTAGGGAGATAAGAAAGACAAAGAAAAAATGTGTACCAATTCAAAAATATCATCCCTGTGAAGCTTGTTATGTTTTTAACCTTCACACCCCTATGTGTGGAAGTCATTCACACATTGCAAAGGTCAAAATCGGAAGTCTCCTTGTAGTGGAGACTGGAGGACTGAGTTTCCACTTCAGTTCAATGCATGTAATGGCCTTGACATTCTAGGAAGGTTGGTTTTGTAGCATATTGCAAAGAATATAAAGCTTAAATACAGTAATCAAGGTAGGTTTTACCTAATTACACTAAAGCCACTAGAACATATTGAATGTTTTATACTGAAATGCCAGGATAATTTCAGCCCTGAAGGTTGTCTTAGAATATATTTTAGCAGGAAAAACTCAGAGACAAATTTCAGAACTTGTTTCTATTAGTGTCCTGTGGAGACAGTGTAATTCTCCATCTGGTTCCTGCTAATAACTAACAACAAAACACTGAGAGGTATATCATTTTCTAGAGAAATGGTGAAGACAGTGTCCCCGTCTACTCTAAGTCTGGCTGTCCTTACTTTGTTATTTATAGAAGGTCAAATGAACTGACTTGAGACTGCTCCAGAGAAACTTCCAGTTGTTTTTTAAAATTCCCATATGGCATAGAAATTAAACAAAAACTTTTTCCCTTATTGTTTAAATCATAATTTAAAACATGAGAAGCAAGAAAGCAACCTGAGGTAAAACTGTACAGAGTTTAAAAATAAGCTTCATCTGAAATTATTATTAAGGTATGTATGTTCTGTCAATTAAAGTGAAGTTTAGCAAATGCAGATTGCTTAATTTATTTTCTTTAAGATTTCCTACCTGCTCAGTGATTTCATCACTATCAAGAAATCACAGGCCTTTCCATTCTCAAGTATCAGCGTCAAGATTGATTACTCACTGTTACCCATACATCCCCATCCAGCCACGAATCTAATCAGCTGTAAATATTCAGATCAGCTCTTTTTACAAGAGTCTATTTTTTCAGTATCATTGTAATGAAGACTTCCTAAGCTACGAAAATTCATTCTCGTTATCTTTCTTCCTATTTTTTTGTCTTTAACTTCTCCCCTCCTCCACCCCCTGACAATTTGATCAACATTCTCCACTTTTTGAACACAGCATTTCATTCCTCAAAAAGCAATATTTATCAATTTTATATTTGTAAACGTGAAAAAACGAAGGGCTTAATTTTTAAAATTATCCTCATATCTGCTTAGTGAGTTGGACTGCTTTGCAGCTTTGGAGTGAACCTTTTTGTAGTCTGTGGCTTGAACACCAGTGGGATTAGAATAGGCTCAGACTTTTCATCATTCTAAAAGTGCTTTTCTTTTGAACACTTTCATGGAGGTTTTCCTCAGCAGAATTAAATATAAACTGAATAGACCATTAATTTATATGCCTCCAATCTAGGTGGGTATGGATAATGTTAACATGAATATTTGCATTGAATACACATTACAAATTATTATGCCACTTTTGACTCTGATAGGGGAGGCCCTGGGAATTCTCTGTAAATTTTGAAAGCCTTAAATAAGGTAGAATGTTCTGTCTCACCTACTACATTGGCTTCAGTATTAGGTAACTAAATTATGCCTGAATTCTGGATACTTAGGAACAAGATTCATCAGTTAACACATTGTAAGGTTGAATTACAGCTTGCTTGCTTTAACTTAGGACAAGTATTCACAAAATGTATTGACTGAGGAATTACTCATACTTAATTTTATAGCAAAATGAAGCCAATTACTACATATGCATGAGACCTAAATCCTTTAGCAAAAATTCACAGTAAAAGCAGAAACATAAAATAAGAAGAAAAAGTTTGAATTTCTTGAATATTTTCAATTTGTTCTGAGAAAAACCCACATTTATTTTTGTATTCCGTTAAACCAGGTACTAGGCTATATGAACAGTTGCTTTGATGCAGTCCCTCTGAAACAATATTTTTTAATTCCATACTAGATAAATTAAAGCTTCCCTTCCTGTCATTATAAAATGAAAGCAGAAATGATGATCTATTTGCAGATTAAAAATAAAAAATTGTTCAGGCTTAATCTGGATGTTGGCAGATGTAAAACCTGAAATTGGGCAGCTGAAATACATTATAATTAGCCTCTAGCTACTTCTGGATTTTGATGGACTGCCCCATTTCTGTCATTTTCTAGTTAAACTGAATTATTTGATAGACATTAAATAATATTAGGCACTGTTTTTTTTTCTTCATGTTATTTGTACTCTGTGTAGAAACAGTATTATTCTAAGGACATAAATCTAAGGGAGTTTTACATTTTTCTCTTTTTCCTGAAGTTAGATTGTATAATCACTCCTGATACTATTATTTTACAAAGAATATTTTTCACCTGTTTAGTTAAGCATCAAATTTATTTTCTGATTCAAATGACAGAAAATCTTGTTTGCCCCCCTTGTTTCTGTAGGCTGACAATTCATTCCTTCAGCTTTTTTCTAAGAGGAAATTTTTCTACAACATTTGTGATTCGTCTTCTGGTAGTCTCTCTAGGTTCAGAATGAATTCAAGATCATAGAATAAAGGTGCCCTGATTGAGTGGTTGACCCATATATTTTAGAAATGATAATACAAAATCCTTCTATTTCAAAGAATCTGGAAACCAATATTGGTACTCTCTTCTGTGTTTATGGAGTCTCTCTCTCTCGACTAATTACCATTTCATTTGTCAGATCCAACAGGGAGACATAACCTTTGCTCAGAGAGAGGCATTTAATGTGATTTCTTGGCATTTGAGTTCTATATTTCCCACTGGTGACACTTTTGAGATAAGATGAGCATTTTCCAGCCTAATGCCTTATAAAAACATTTCACTAGAAACTTGGAGGCTGAAATAAATTTCTTCATTTGGGATCAAGTACTTTAGATCCTCTATAACTTCAGATGATATTGAAAGAAGACCAAGAAATCATTTTTTATGTATAAATACAAGATTAAATTATCTTAAAAACTAAAATAAAGAAATGATGCATTTGGGGAGACATTGATCATTGAGGTGTTGGTACAAGTTTCAATTAGGATGAGTAAATTCTAGAGGTTGGCTGTACAGCCAGGTAGGCTATAGTTAACTATAACTTGTAAAAACATTTACAAGTGTTTTTAAATGTTGTGTAAAAACATTTCTTGATTAGTAAGAAGCCCAGCATTCTTTAACTTTGCAGGCCAGTGTCTACATATTTTGTGAAGAACATTTGTTTTCTTTGTGTTGTCATAAATTTTTCAAATGATGTTTAATTGAGATGAATTATCTGCTTTATTCTTCAGTTTTATGTTTTTAAGAAAGGAAATGGAGAAAGATGTGGAGAAAGGTTGTTTGGAAGAGGGGTTAGATAACTACAAAGGTCTGTTGGGGAATGGGAGGCAAAGTTATCAACACAAGACACTGCACTTTCTGTCCCAAGATTTTCCCTGTGATAATAACTCAAGCTGACTTTAATGCTTTAGTTTAAACAATTGTGTCAGTGGGCTTTCTCTAAAAATTAAAGTAGCAACAGGACTTCCATATCATGGTTTTTAAATAATGTTGGTGGGGTTTCCAAGCACTAAAACCAGTTAGAGTTCCTTCTTTTAAATTCTCTTCTTTTATGTACACTACTTGATACAAAAGTAAATATAAATTCTTCAAAATTCTGTAGAAATTTTTATTTTTCCTGCTAAATTATCTAGAATATATAATGAAAAGTTCAAAAGGTAGACACATAGACAATAATTACAACTTAGAAGGAATTTCTGTTTGTTTCCTTCATAATGAGAAATCTTCTCTAGAAAGTAGAGACAAATTTTTTAAAATACAGAAACAAGGTGAAACAAAAAGAGAAAGAAAGATGAAAAAATATAACACTCAGCATGCACTCAATGACTACTTGCCAAACAAATGAGTGATTGGCTTGGGCCTGTTATACTGATGACATCATGGGATTATTCTCTGCCAAATAGTCACTGGTACCCTAATAAGTCACTAGTAATACTTTAATGCTGTATTTTCTGTCTGTGGAAAGAGTTCAGCCCAACACTCCAAATATTTTGTCACGTAAGCCCTATTGTTAAAAAAAGTGTGTGTGTGTATATATGAATGTATTGTGGCATATTTTACACACACATATACACAGACACACACCTATATATTATATTTTAATATATAATATGATATTAATATATAATACTTATTAATAATATGTAATATATATTTCCTATGGCATTATACACTCTAAGTTTATTGCATATTATATAATATACCAACACATAATTTAAAAATAAAAATAAAAATTATTCCCATGATACAATGAATCATTTTAGAAACTTGGATGAACTCTGAAGACTACTTAAGTAGGTTATTTTGAGCATTTTTCTCTTTACTTCTTTTCTGTCCACACATCTTAACAATGTCCATGGCCACTAATTAGGTCACTAAAACATCATTTTTCTTCTTTACTTTCTGTAACAATAACATTTTACTTCCATCTTAGAGACTGCAGCACTTGTTCTTACAATGCCCTTAGTCACACAGGAGAGATCTTGGGTGCTTCCAGGTCAGAATTGTAAAAAGGAAAGAATGAACTAATTGAGGATATCAAGTCCTCATAATTGTACTTGAGCTGACAGTTCTGACTTGTAGGGAAGTGGGCTTATTTCCTCAGAAGTGAAGATAAGGATTCATTATGATTCATAAAATTCATTATGTTGAAGCCAACTTGCTAGAGGTTCTACACATTTCTTCCTTTTAAAATTCACTTTTGGCATATGAGCACCTTAGTACCATGTGGTAGGAAGAACTGGAAAGGGGTGTAGGTGAGGGCTGAAGCTAGAAGAGTTTCAGTCTCCTGGAAATAACCTCGTGAGGGGGTAATGTATGGCTCAAACTCTTCTTGCCTCCATGCTCTGTGATCTTCCCTCAGGTTCCTGAGACCTCTGTGATTGATTTCACATTGCTCTTGGGATTCTGCCTTCCAGGTTGTGTTTTATGTGGGCAGTAAAATAACATTAAACTAATCAGGGCATTTCACAGGACTCTTTCAGTTTATGTACCACATGCCAGTTAGCATTAGTAAATCCTCTGAAAGTTCTCTACTCTGTATACTTACTCTTATGAATATTTTTCACCTAGACATTAATTCTGTATCAAGAAGTATAGAATTGCTTTCAGCAAATTTTACACTTGCCTGCAGCACCTTGGAGTTCTAAAAAAATTGGAACAGGCTCTTAAACTCTGGATAACTGGAGTTAATTGTGTTTCACATTGTCCAACTTGTGACAACTCATCGACACATCAAGAAACTTCAAATTGCTGTAGACAGTCAAATATCTATTTACACTTTATATACAAAATGGGTTTCATAGACTAAGCCCACGATTAAAGGGAAAATTTTCAAAATCAGTAGAAATGTCTTACTGAATGAATATGATGCAAATTGTGACATCATTTCAGGGCCTTATCAGGAGATGAAAATTTTAAATTGTTTCCTTACAAGGAAGAAAATTGAACAAGATTGAGTACAGATTTAATAAATCTTCAAATGTATATATTTGTTATATAATTAGATAGCATTGTCAAGCTGTTCTTCATTTCCAATGAGATACAAAAAGAGATTAAATACAGGATAAGGGATTTAGCTTAACTCTATGGAAAAACAGCTTGACAGTAGTAGCTCTGATTTTAGAAAAATTCACTGAGGAAAAAAAGAAGGTCATTGTAGAAAAAAATTATCATTTATGAGTGGTTTATTGCTTTGCAATTGACAAAAGAATTGAATTATTAGCCCAAATGAACAGATATTTATCAAAATTCTAATGTAAATTACGCCACTTTACAGAGAAGACTTGGACAATATCATAAAAGGGATAGTACCTTCAAGATTTGTAAAAGTAAAACACTTTAAACATTTGAGGAAATAAAGAAACAGGTGACCCTTGAAGATTGAGCTTGATAAAAAATCTAATTTAGTGAGTGAAAAAGCTTGTGTGTGTGTTTGACAACAGTGGGGGTAAATTCAATTAAAGGAATGATATAATAAAAATACAGGAAAAATGTACATTGACAAGAGTGTACTTAGTTCCCTTGATATGTGGTACAAGCTAAGGCTAGTATATGATTTCTCCTAGGAAATGATTCTAAGAGGAGAGAAGAGAATCAAGAAAAGTACTTGAATTCAAAAGTCCAAAGGAGGAAAAGAATCAAAAGGAAGATGCTCAGATCTATCTCAATCATTCTTTCATCTGATGTTTGTGGAGTACCTGCTATACGAGAACTGAAGCTATGAGGAACCACAAATTTCCCTCACCCAGGAAGCTCACAATCTGAAAGCATGCAAAATTTATTAAATTATAATGCAAATAAGCCTGTCAGTGTGATTGGAATAAATGCTGTAGAAGAGATGAACTTGTAAGGACAAGGTGGTATAAGACTGAAAAGGTAGTTAGAGACTAATCTTACTCAAGATATAAGAAGAGAAAGTCTTTAGAATGTTTTGAATATGTGGCTGCCATAAATATAATTACATTATGAAAAAAAAATCTCCAATGGTCCAGTGTGCAGAATAGATGAAGAGAAGTAAGTTGTATATGAGAAAGTGAGTTATAAGGGTATTTCTCTATTAAAGGGAATAGTTTATGGTAGCTTGGTCTAAGGTTATTGGCAATAGAGATGGAGAGAAGTGAAACAAAAGGAGACCTAATTTGAAGACTAAATAAGATATTGGAGGTAGCAATAACAGGCTTGTTGCTAGAGCTGCTGCAGAGGTTGAGAGAAGGTTGGCTCCTAGATATCCTGTTTGTACAATTGATTGGATGGTAGCACCATTTGCAGAGACATCAGTATTGAAGGGTGATGTGTTTCCTGGAACCTTCATGTATTCAATTTTGGATACAATATGTTTCAGTTCCCTTGAGATTTCGAGTAAATGGCTTAACATAAAGCTAAGATATATGTGATTGAATTTCAGGTGGTATGTCATTAAGATGTAAATATGTACATCTTCTATGATAGATATAAGGAGAATAGTGTGATATAGAATAAGAAGGCAAGAGGATCTAAAATAATGTCTTAAGAAACTAAAACAATTAATGAACTAGATTAGAAGAAAATAATCCCGAAATTGTCTTCAATGAATTAGGGAGGATAAGGAAAACAGGAAGACTGAAGTGCTACATATGCCAAGAGAAGAATATTAAAAAAAAAAAAAGATGGGAATTGACTCATAGTATCAGATCCTGCTTTGAGACCAAGTAAAGTAGTATAGAGCTAGAACTAGAATGTGAGATTGGTATGGGGCAAGAAAAGAGGTCTATTCATGAAAGCCCAGACATACTTAAACATATTCCCATCTGGGTAACCATTGAGGTGTACTTTTTCCTATTATAGAATCCATGATTTAAAGGCTGCATTGCATTTTCATCCATGTCATACATGCAAGTGGGCCATGTGAAGGTGATTGAGCTCCTGACCTGTAACGGAAGGGAGTCCTCTTTCCATAGCATTCTGCTCAGAATTCTAGATGTAGTCATTCAGCTATGCTTATTGACTTCCATTTTTTAACCAGTCTACTTTATTTCTTTATCTATAAAGTCTTTGTAAATACCCAATGGGTTTGTTGAATGACATTATTGAGAACTATCAATCAAATATCAGAAAATCATTAGCTATTTTACAAAGCAAAGAATCCACCCTCTTAAAGCCTAAATGAAACTTAGTCTTGAAATCAGAACTATAATGAGAGTTTTATTAAGAACATCTAAAAACCATATGCACCAGATTTAATCTTTAGAAGAAGAATGAATTACCTTTGTCTCCCTCACTTTCAAAGGACAGTCTCCTCCTTCGTAGCTTACAGTTTTCTCCTTCAGAATCATTCACAGATTGTGATCGTAGTAAGAGATCAGCCTTTGTTAATGGATTATGAATACAAAATAGGTTACTCAATAAACCATAATGAACTGTCAGCACTCTTTACTATTTCATATCACTTCAGCCACTTTGAGTCTTAATTATTAGATTGCAGGCAAATAATTACAATACATTGCCTAATGGTTGTCTCTAAAGTATAAAATGGACTGATGAAATAATTCTAGTAGTTTCACCATCTTATGGGGAAATCATAAGTGAAGTTATTTATTAGAAATGTTTGCAGATGATGTCAATATTTAGAAACAAAACATTCCTTTCTGTCAATTGTGTTTTATGTAACTTGGTAAAATTAAAACAAAATAAAATGGAGTACGACTCAGCCATAAAAAACGATAAATTAGAGACATTTATAGCTAAATGGATACACATTGAGGCCATACTCTTAAGTGAAATAAATAGGACACACATGTGTAAACACGGAATAGTTTCTCTAGTGTGTGAAACTGAAAGTGTAAATAAGGACTAAAAGGTATAATAGATAATGTGGAATAGGAAGAAAAGGGGCAAAGGGGAAGGCAAACTGGGAGGGGTAGAGGAAAGGAAAGAAGGGAATGGAATTAATATGAGAAAATGAAAAAATGGCAATAAAGTCTTTGTAAATAGGGAGGGATGGAGGGGTTGAAGGGAGGGCAAGGGAATGGGGAAAAAATAAGAACCAAGATATATCATGTAAACGTGCAAATTCCCAATGATGAATGACATTATATCGTATACCTAAAATGTACCAATAAAATTAATAAAACAAAACAAAAATAAAAATAACAATAATTTAAAACTAGAGACAAATGTATAAGCTAATTATCATTAACTATGATGTTTAAATTACGTGATAGTGATCACAAGGTTATATTTCATAGCACTAAGGATAAAATTGTCAAATTGGATGAACATTACATTTAGAGCTCTTTATTATATTTGTTCCCACCTCCTTCTCCCACTCTGGTTCACTCTGTGCAATACCCATGTTGTGAAAAGGAATAAAAGTTCTTGTTTTATTCCTGTACTGCCTGAATTTTTAAATAAAGAAATGAACTGAGGTAGATATTTATTAGTTTTCAAGGTAAAATTCGAATAAAGTTGATGATAAATGATTGGGATTGTGAGAAAGTACTGAATTAAAACCACTGTAAAAATACATGCTCTTAATAAGATTATATCACCTAAATAATGTTTTAGCTTTTCAGTGTTTGGAAAGAGGTACTTATCTGAGCTGGTACACTGGACATTGAATGGCACCCTGATGACTTTAAAAGTTGCTCCTTCTCTTTAAGTCTCTCAAAGTGACTGAGAATGAGTAACTCTAAAAACTAAATCTACATTTTACCTGGATATGGACCTAAGGATCCTTTCTTCAGGTAATATATTAGTTAGCCCACACATACAATGGCAAGTATTAAGTGCCCAGTATTTGATTTATGATATTTAAAAAAGTATTTAGAACTAAAGAGGGGCTTGGAGGTTTTGGGGAGAAAGGGACATAGGAGGAATAACCTGTTAATAAATTGTAGGCTACCACCTAAGTCCTATATCCATAGTATACCAGTGGTTCACAAAGACACAGTATCACAGTGGAAGAGAGTCAGGGACATAAGAGCTACACTCTCAAAATTCATTCCCAGTTAACTAATATGTAGAATTATTTAAAATATTATTTCTATTAGACCATATATTATTCATTCTGCAGCATTAATTTTGAGTTTATTTCTTTAATTTAGAAATTGTGTTATTTATGGACCTGCATTTGAATGAGGTTAATCTTTTCATTATTATTGAAAAGTCAGTGGTATAAATAATAGCTGAGAGGATAGTTTATCTTTTGTGTAAGATAAACTTTTAAAACCCTAAAACTGTCTATTTCTTACAAATAATTGGCACAATAAACAGCAAACTATTTTAACTCAAATATTTCACCTAAGGGTTCCTAAAAGGTTAAACTTAATTAATATGCTTAAAATTGTTCATCATGTTTAAAAGTAAATAGGTTGAATTCTTTCTCTATAATTTAAATTTAAGTATCCAGCTGACCTTTCCTCCTTTATATTTTGAATTTGTTGAGTTTTGTTGCAACATTTTGCTTAATTTTTAGAAGTATTTGTGCAATTCAAGAATAAAATAAAATGTCAGAAATACAAAAATAAGCAAACATTTAACATATACCTTTGCACTCTCATGCCTTAGGTTGAAAGTCAACTCTAGGTTTGTTAGAAAGTGATCAGAAAACTCTGGATACATATCCAAAACCTCTAGCAAGTCTTCTCGCTGAATCTTATGCAAGTCACAGTATGTGAGAGCTCTTACGTCTGCATTAGACTTGCCAGGTTTGGCATAAAGATGAACCATTTCTCCAAATATATCATTTTTTCCTAGAGAAAAGAAAAAATGAAAGAAAAGGAAGCCAAATTTAATATTTCTTCTCTTAATATTTTCAAAAGCAGAAAGAGACCACTGACCAATTGACAAATCCTTGAATCAAAGATTCCAAATGCCAATAGATATTTGGGCAGCAAAGTTGATAAGTCTGGATCTACTCCCTTGGTCCACGTTTGCTGAATAACACTTTGACTCCAAAGGTCACTGGTCCTACAAAATCTCTTTCAGTTGCTTGTTGTGAGTCTTTGGCTAAGTGCCTAGAAAGTAGCAAATACATTTTCACTCTGATACACTTCTCCATTGCGAGCAAAAGACCTTGCCATAAAGTATTTTAAAGATGTTTCCAGGTAGATTTGCTCTGATTTTGTCAATCCAGGAATATGAGAAAGGAACAGTGTGTCAGGTTCAAATTTGCTCTCAGGATAATCTCTGGAGGTGATGCCAAGAAAGAGCTTATGGTAAAGCTCTTTCAACACTTAGAGAATTGGAGGAAAGATTTGAACAGACCTTGCTTCTCTTAATAACCATTTTTAGATTTGACCTTAATGAATTTGTCTAAGTGTTTAAAATATCTAGTTATACTTCTTCAACAGATGTAGACATGCCTTTTGTCAAGAGGTCCCTGCTTTGAAAGTTTGACCTCCTTGTTTTCTGTGAAACCCAGGGTTATTTCAGCATCTGGTTTCTGCTCAGCCCTCCCCATCACCTCTGCCAAGCTATAACACCTGATTTTCAGTCTTGTGGCATAATAAGGATAAGAATGACAGCAACGATAACATTTTTTTGAGGGCTAAGTAAGTGACAGGCATTATATCAAATGCTTAAGTATACTGTCTCATTTTTATCCTCCAAATAGCTTCATGAAGAAATTATTAATTATTATCCCAATTTTATAAATACTGAAAGAGGATTAAAAAGATAAACTGATTAGCCCAAGGTTACCTTTTGAGTTGGCTGAAGTGGAGGGATGGAGAGTGTAGATGGAATTAAATCCCATGCACTGTGATTCCAGGGCCAATGTTCTCACATATGTGATTTACTGAATCTCGTTTTGATATATTCCCTGAATATCTTGGCCATTTTTCTGTCGCTCAACATCAAGATACTTATGTGATGTATGGACTTGATAAATTCTCAAAGATTATATGATTATATTGCTTTTAAGGATCTTTAATGATGTAAATAGTGCTTGGTTATACTTATCCTGAAGCTTCTTTTCAGATTTAGGAAAATTTTTCCTGTTGATGTTATTTTATATTTTATTATATAACTTCATATATACCCCACTGTGAGAACTACCAAAGTCTTTTAAACAATGAAATTCTATATCTTCACTATGTAAGAAAAATAGGCATTGGAGAACAGGAACACAGGGAAGCATGCTCCCCCCGGCAACATACCAGGATAAGCTGTCAAAGCCAAATCTTGTGAAAACTACTTTATCGTGTGGGCTTGAAATAATTTGGAATATGTTTTTGTTTGCCTGCTTATTAGATTGGGAGTTGAATTATATAGCTTACGAATCTGAGGAAAATTTTAAAATATTGTAATCATAATAAAACTGTCAAACTGGATGGGGAATTCCTCGAAGGTCTTTATTTGTGTATTAAGGTCCTCTGCTCTGCCATACCTTGTTTTTGCACAACAGCAAAGGAAACCAACTACATTCCTGAGTGACTGGAGCTAACATCAAGAGTGACATGTAAGGAAATGGTGCTCATTATCAAAATGGAGCAGATAAACCTAGGAAGTTTCACAGATACCAGCAGTAGGTGTTAGCACAGGGGCATTTGGGCTTAAACCTCCTTGTTATGCGGTAGGAGAGGAGAACAGAACTGGCTTGTTTGGGATCCTTATTGTGCCCCTCTGTCCTAATAGCCCAAGAAATCCCACAAAGTCATGTGGCCCAAGGTTTTTTTTTTTTAAAGAGATAAAACAGATTAAACATGGGCTTTCTTTTGCACTCTAACCAGTTTATTACTAATTTTAGTTTTGTCAATGCCTTTATCCCTGGTGCTATGTCCATAGCTTAGTATGACTTAGATATAAACTCATAATTCCATTTGTATAAGTATATAGTGAATATGTGGAATTCACAAAACATAAACCCAGTTCAGGACAGGTCAATGGCATGTGCTAGAAAGTATAACTGCAACATTTGTATTTTATTTTAAGATGTTGGGGGATCAACCTGGAAGCCAAGATTGTCTAAAATGGGAAGAAAATGATGACTATTTTCATATATTTGGCCTCAAATGTCTAAATAGCTGCCAAGAACTGAAGAGAATAGTAGAAGCATTCACACATTGGAAAAAAACTGAGACAGTTGAGAAAACATATTTTCTTCAAGATTAATTTGATTTGAATGGAATTTTAAATACAGTTTTTGAGTTGCCCACTGGTATTAAAGTTCACATTTGATCTCTCATTTTTAATTACATAGTGCTACAGGTGCTAATAGCTATAGCTATGGCTGATCATTGTCACTATCCAGTTCTAAAACACTCACCCAGAATAGCTACCACAATGTCATCTTTGAGGATTTCGATGGAGCCTCGGGATAAGAAATACAGCGCGGTTAGGACATCACCACAATGAACAAGGGTGTCTCCTGGAGGTGCATGAGTCGTCTTGAACTTCATTGCCAGGGCTCTAAGGCAACCTTTACTTGCCCCTCGAAAGGCTTTGCAGTTTTGCAGCAAAGTTTGGTTGAGATGTAAACAAATGTCAGCTTGTAAGCATTCTGGGAAACCCTTTAGGACCTGAACGAGAAAGATAAAGAGTTTCATACTACCAGCGCACTGTATACTTCAACCTGATACAAAGTCTATTTCTTGCTCACAGAACTGCAGGTGTAGTAATTGTCACCAGGAGTTCTCACAATGTTTCTACCTTGCCTACTTTAATGAATACTTGGTTTGCTAAACATGTCAGAATTTTTAACTCAAAAGCTTGTTCTCTGAATTAACTGAAGATATTCATACTCCACACAGTGCTGTCTCATTAAAATGTTATGCCTACAACTTTTCATATTGCTTCTCTTTTCCCTGCATTATGTTATGTTGCATCATACTGTGCACAGATATAATGCAGTGTGACAATTAATAAGACATAACTAATGAAAAGCAATACAACTAGAAAGATAATCAAACTTTTGATGGAATTTCAAGTCAATTTAGATTACCATCTCTGGTATAAATCTTAGTTATAATTAGTAAAAATTTTGATCTTGAAGTAGCCATGGAATTTTTAAATGTCATATATCAGGGAGTGCTCTTCGCTATCAATACTTGGACTATTTATGTTTCTTTATATGCATTATTGAAACTAAATATTTTGATAAGCACTGAAAATAGAAAAAGGAGAGAACAGTGAGCATACTTTAAAAGTATACTTTAATTTTCAGAACTAGAAATTCTGCTAGAATTTACGATGCATACGCAAGCTTCTAAAGTGCTACTATTTTGGCAGCCTATTCAGTGGTTAATTTAAAATTTGTGAAGTAGATTAAACAATAGCTTATGACATGTGGTATTCAACTTGAATTAAATAAAACTTTATGATACATTTATAAATTCTCAATATATGCAATGGATTAAAGACACTCAACTCATACTTCTCTGTGTCTTGCTACTTTGAGTACTATATGTAGGTTTTACTTTGACCTCTGACTTTCCTCTGACTGTATAAATAATATGCTTTGGAATGGGCCATTATGTAATATAACTTATAGTCCAATAATGGAATTTTGCTATTTTGTTTTTTTAACTCAATCTTGGTGTGCCATTCAATATACCTAAAATAATTTTGAATTGTTTATAAGGGAATTCAAATATATTTGGCCCAGAGAGGAACTTCAAATTAAATTATATTTTCATGTACTTATAATTATTAATATTTTAAACATTAAAACAGCTACAGGGATCTATCTTCTTTTTATTGGATCACAATGTGATGTAAGAGGTCAGACTGTGATATAATATGAAAGGACCAATATGAGACAGGAATCTCCATAGACATAATTCTGTGCTCTTATCTTCTTCATCATATAGAATCACCCACAGAAGTGGGTAGAGGGTATTTTAGAAGAAAATTCATAGAACTGAATTCTGGTCATGAATTTGCCACAGGTTGACTCTTGTGCAAGTCACTTTACTCCTCTGTGTTTTTCTATTGCAGAAAAAGACCCATAAGAATACTGAAGTTAGTTATAAATTACCAACAAATAAGGTGCCAACTGTCAGACATTGTTTACCCAGCTCCATGCTGCTCCTACTTTCATCCTGAAGATGAAATCACCTCCCCCAAGTCCAAAAGAAAGGAGCTTTCCTTTGATACGAGTCCCTGAGCACTCATGGGCAAAGTCTCCCCTTACCTGTGCCTTTCACGATTGGCCTATATGACTGGACTCTGCCCAATTTCCTGTTGGGACTAACGACCTCTCTAATGTAATTTGTCTTGTCATTAGTTTTATCTCTGAAGTGGCACCTTTCTCCCCACTTTTTGATAGTCTCCTATAGCAACTCAACTTCTTTCCAGGAACTAATTCTCTGTGCCATTGATCCCTGCTACTAACTAAACAGTCACGTTGGATTCTTTGGCAAGTGGTGCCAGACCAAAGTTGAGCTAAGTTTAGATCCTATTTTCTGAGATGGTTGCCACTATATTTGAGACTCATCTAGGACAAAAGTACCTCAGCTTTTTGGTCTTTATGTGACATATTTCTCTCTGAGGCCAACTTTTATAGTCTCAGCATAACTCATAAATGATCTCATGCTGATAAAGATGAATAGAACATCACAATATGTAACAAATTAGGTATGTGCATTCTTCTCTTAAAATATAGGTTGCTGGGCATGGTGGTGCACACCTGTAATCCCACCACTCAGGAGGCTGAGGCAGCAGGTTTGCTGTGAGTTCAAGGCCAGCCTAAACTACATAGTGAGACCCTGCCTCAAAAAAATAAAAGACGTAGGTATATGCTGTAATAAAATACAAGAAGGCATTTTATATTTCACAGAAATGGGGGTGTAATTGTGACTGTAAAATTGGAATGAGAATACTGAGCTTGTAATTTCAATTTCAGAGATTTTCCCTGAAATCTTCCTGAGTGAAGCCTGGTAACAGGACCAAAAAATTCCCAAAAGTTATGTGTGTGTGTGTGTGTGTGTGTGTGTGTGTGTATGCTTTGAGTTGGAAGGCGGAGATGAGATAGATATGGGACTCCCCACTGCTTTGAGTATCTTCTATGAGCTACGCAGTTAGACAGCTGTGAGCTAAAGTTCTAATGAAGTAACTTACTAATTGTGAAATTGTTCAAATTATTTAACTTCTTTGAGATTCAATTTCATCTTTTTAGAATTAAATTAATAACATCAACTTCACAGAGTTGTGGCCATGATTACATATGAAAATGTATGTAAACATCCTGTGCATAGTAGATAATTTAATAGAAAATTTACCTCTGACATCATATTTTTTGTCACACATACTCATTGTTTCTGTAGAACTGGTACATTCACTTTTGCTGGAAATTGATAGACATACACCTCACTGTGTTTTCACTTTGGTGTACCTGATAGGAAAATTTACATCTATTTTTGTGTTCTATTACTTCAGCAAAGTTTAAATATTTTGTGTTCCATATATCACCAGTTTAAGAACTCTTTTTCCTTGCATGTCTGTATTCTTCTTTCCTATTTCTGGCTTCTTAAATGTTCTGGCTTACTTGCACTGAGCTTTTCCTTGTACTTGCCTTAAATTCTTTTTGAAAGTAAGCAGTTAATAAAATAAATTTATAAAGATGTTCTTAGAATTCCAGCAGCCTTGGAATCACTGACAACAGTTTAAGACTACTGGGGAAAGTTTTTGCCTTGTGAAATTTCCTTTGTCCTTAACATTCATCCTATTAGAAGTGACATCCATTGGGAAAGAGTGCATGAAGTTGGAGGTGCAATAGAGCCTTTGTTTTCATAGGAAGAGGTTCCAGAGAGTTTAGCATAAACTTGTCTAGATTAAGGAATTCTTGTGTGGTGTTAGGCCTGAACTTTCTTAATTTAGTCACATTAGCCACTCAAGTAAAACTCAATGAGAGTTGCCCAATAGTTTTGATGTCTCAAATAAATCATCAGGATTATAATCTGAATTATTGTTCAGTAAAGGTACTATGTACAGTCAAAAGAAAGATGCAGTGGAATTGATACAGAAATACATTGAAAAAAGTGAGAAGTAAGAGATACTTTTGAGTAGATATTTACCCAGAATCAGTCATATAGATTGTAGCTTGGAAAGCCAGTTCTGACTCATTTAACAAATATTTGTAAAATATTTACTGTATGTCAGACACTAGGCTATGGAGCATCGCTATGAATAAAATGTGTTCTGAAAATGCACCATTCCTCAAAACTTTCTTACAAATACCCAGACTAAAACAAATTTTTACAAAGGCAACATAATTTCTCATATTTCATTCCTCATGTCAAACTTGGAGATCTATAATTTATATTTATACTATTAATGGCTGTTCAAATGAACCGTCAAGTAACAGTTAATTGAAGATGAATGAAAAGCTCTGATTTTATTTTTCTAATACTGGCTGGCATCAAGCAGATTTTTTAAACTTTTTGAAGTTCTGGAAAACTTTTTTCAAGGTTGGCAGAAATCCTGTATCTCTATTTTGATATAAAGTCACCTGAATAATTTATAAATGCAAGAGTAATTTCCCTTTACTAGAATTTATGTGAATAAGGTTCTTTAGGGTGCTCAGAATCAAATTATGACTTGCACTTAGAATTTGTTCATTTCAATAAGTATGCAATGCTATCTGTTAATTGTTATAAGAAATACATTTTGTAGTTTAGTACTAGAGGACTCAAAACTTAAAGACATTTAAACACAAACAACCCAAGATAGCATTATTAAATCAAATAAAACCCATTAAATAAATCACACATATCAAAGAAAGAGAAAAATGGTTACATAATAAACATATATCAAATAATCAATTACAAATTTAGAAGTAAGTATTAAACATTCTAAACTCTCCTAAGAGATACATAAGGTGTGACAAAAATACAGTGAATGTTATTTAAAAATTTACTAGAGTAAAAGATACATTGCCATTAATCTCTCTCAAAATACAGTGAATTTTAAATTATTTAAAAATTTACTAGAGTAAAGGATGATACATTGCCATTATTGTCTCTCAAAATATGTAATTTCCCTCCCTCTGAACACATTTATCTCATCATTCTTGTCATTTTCTGAAGCAGATCTAGAAGTCTTCTTTTGTGTCTTTGGTTGTGCTATAGTAGCTGCCTTGATGTCCTGAATCGAATAAAAATGTTTACCTTTTATAATCATTTTGACTTTGGGGAAGAGCCAGAAGTTGCACAGTGACAGATCAGGTAAATAAGGCAGATGACAACATAGAGTCATGTTTTTATGAGACTGCATTTCTGGTGAATGTCAGTCAGCAGCAGCATTCACTGTATTTTTGGTCACATAGTGGAAAGACACTCATGTAAGATGACTTCTGGAACTGCTTCAAAAACTGGCAAGAATAGTGGGATAAATGTGTTTGCGTTGAGGGGAGTATTTTAAGGGGGATTAATGGCAGTGTGTTTCTTTTGCTGTAGTAAAAGTTTCTAATCTTATCTGAACATTCACCATATTTTTGATTTTTAGTCACACTGTGTATATGCTGACACATAATCAAATTATAGTACTGTTAATATTTGCAATTATGTAGTATGTGAATTCA